ATCTTGGCCTGAATTATCTTATCAAATTAACATTATACAAATACATTAATATAAATCCTAGCCACTTTGGCTTTGCAAAATTAATATACACATTAATATAATTAGCTACACTTGGCTTATCAATTACACACACACTTATACACATTAATATAATCTTTAGCCACACTTGACTTATCCAAATAAATATTGTAATAATTATAATCCACTACACATTAAGTAAATTTGTGAACTTAACATCCACCTCCTTCTGTCATTTCACATATAATTATTAAGTAATTAACTAATTAATGACTTCACTAATTATCTCCGGTTCAAGAAGGACCAACGAGCTAATTAAATGTGGAAAATTGCATTTATCTGAATGTAACTCATTATGTACATAACAGAAAATGATAACAAAGATAATTATTATTTATCAGTGTTACATAGACAAGTAGGAATTTGGGACACCTAGGTCGCAAAAAATGTCTCCCTTCGATACCTACCACTGTCATAACCACAAGTTGCTCTGGACCTATTAATTAAATGAAATATACATACACCAGGAATACTGGTAAATATATAAATTTGTGGACTGTATTTTAAAAATAATAAATGGTTATATATATATACACAATTACATAACAGAAGGAAAATATATCTTAATATCACTCACCAATTTGACTGGAGATTAATGTGTATCATACTCAGAAAACCTCACTCTAACTAAATCTATGAAAATAATGCTGGCCAGAATTACACACAAATCTAGAGAGCTTATCTGATGTTCCTGGAGCTGTCTTGTCCAGTCATCTGATATCTCAAGTTATGCAGGAATGCACATCCACCAATTTCGCCTCCTATTTGAGAGGTGTCAACACAATTTTAACCTCTAGAGCACGAAAAACTCTTTCCATTACACCAACGTTTGTACAAAATTCAAAACCAAGATGGCAAGTGTCCCCCCCCCAGCTGCAGGTTTCCCATTTTTGATAACATACTTCTTTTAAAAATACAATATAGGGCATCTATTTACCTATAAATTACCATATTTCCGGAAAATATATACAGTATTTTCAACAACTACACTGCTACACTCACTATCACTACAGTGCTACACTCACCATCAGTACACTGGTACACTCACCTTCACTACACTGCTACACTCACCTTCACTACACTGCTACACTCAATATCACTACACTGCTACACTCACCATCACTACCCTGCTACACTCACCATCACTACACTGCTACACTATCACTACACACTATACTACACTCACCATCATAAGACACTATAATACAACTCACTGTTACAATATTAAATTTTGATTCTCTTCTATGCAAATAAATTCTATGTACACTTTCAATTATAAACTGAAAATTCGAAGGTCACTATTTTTTCATAATGTTGATATATTTAGTAAAATGGGGCATTTATTATATTAATATATTATTGAAATAGTTAAGCTTAAGTTTGAAAATCAAATTATAATCAAATAATCAAATAAAGAACTAAACAGTAAGCTTAAGAATCATCAAAATGTTTTGCAAAATGGCACTGAAAACCTGCTGCTTGTGGATGCTGGCAGTGGGAATCATTCTGGAAATATTGGGTTGTTATTATCAGCTTTTCGATCCATGGGTTCGTGATTTAGAAAAGGAGAGAAGACGACCTCAGAAGAGAGGTTGACCAAGCTACTGATGCTTGCCAGCCAGTGTTCTATTGGTTCTCCATCTCGACTGTAGTTGATGTGTGGCGATATGTGAGCGACACCCCAGTACAAGAGACAAGTACCGACAGTGACCTTCAGTTTGATCCAAGGTGGCTGCCCGTCATTGGTCGTGTCATCACTGCTTATGAATGTTACATGGAAATCCAAAATCTTAAAACACTTCTTCTTGAGGTGACATTACGCTCTCATGAGTGTTCCTCTACTCCCTTCACAATGACTGTGTTGTGTGTCCTCATGTCAATTACAGTGAGTGCCATGGGACTGATCGCACCAGTCAAACTCTGGAGGAGACGAACCGGCGATACACTGAAGATAGCTGTGGTAAGAAAGCCAAAAACAAGCAAACATAATAGACGTCGCAGACAAAATGCATCGGAGAAAACTGACCAGGACCAGACAGGGTTAAATGGCAAGCAAAAGAAGAGCAAAAAGAGGAAAATTCAAGAGATAGAAACAATTGATGATGTTGACCTAGCCTACAGGTTAACTGCCCTCCGAGGTGCCAGTAACCGAAAAGGTATATACAAAATAACTGACCCTAAGAAGGCAGAGATGAATAAAAAGACTGCGAACAAGGCCAAGGTGAAAAGCCTCACCAATGGTAAAAACAAAAGACACAAGAGTGTTGGTGTGTGAGTTAAATATTTATTTAATGAAGAAGGAAATATTTTTGTTTATTGAATAATGATTTAGGAGTTTTATTTATTAGTTCCTTTGTTTACATTAAGGTTTTTTTTGTTGAGATTATGTAACATACATTTTTTTTTTTTTCCAACAAATCGGCCGTCTCTCACCGAGGCAGGGTGACCCAAAAAGAAAGAAAATCCCCAAAAGGAAAATACATTCATCATCATTCAACACTTTCACCTCACTCACACATAATCACTGTTTTTGCAGAGGTGCTCAGAACACAACGTATAAAGATACACAACATATCCCAAGAAACGTTTGGGACATAAAATTTTCTTTAATATATTCAATGATTAGTATTTATATTTATATTACTGTGGAGAGAAAATGGGTTTGACATATATTTTTTGTTGGTGAGTTTGAGTAGGACCTGCCTAGGGTGGGTTAGCAGGCCTGCTGTAGTGTTACTCTGTTCTAATACACGGTATAACCCCAGTATCCACTGATGCGGTATCCATGGTTCAATTATTATTATTATTATTATAATCAAGGGGGAAGCGCTAAACCCGGAGGATTATACAGCGCCTGGGGGGGGGATGTGGAAGGCATTCAGGCTTAATTCGGGGAACTGGAGCACAGATCCAATTCCCTAAATCAAGAGCCCCTCACCAACATCAAGGAACCTTCCTTGAGGGGTCCATGGTTCAAAAATTTTGCATAATCATGACCCCAAAGTGCAAAAGTAGAGAAGCTGACAGTTGTTCATCGCCTAAGAGAAGCTGTGAACTGCTTCCCGTCAGTGAAAAAGTGACAATTCTTCACTTATTGTGCATAATTTATCAATTAACTTTATAATAGGTATATATAGGGTTTACTATTATCTGCAGTTTTGGTACCCCCGGCAGGTCCTTCCATACACTGTCCTAGTGTATATAGTGTTTGCTGTTATCAAGGGTTTTGGTATCCATGGCAGGTCCTTGGATATGGGGTTCTAACTGTATATAGGGTTAGTTACTATCCAGGGTTTTGGTATCCATGGAAGGACCTTGGATGTGGGGGTCCTACTGTACTGGTATAAATAAAGATTATTGTGATAAATAGTTTAGAAAACTAACAAGTTGAAGAATGATACACTTATACAACTTATGGGAATCTTTACTGAGGAACCGTTTTGCCACACACTGGCTTCATCAGTCCAGTACAAAGATGAATGGTGTAAGTAAAAGAGTTTGCGGTAATCAGTCACTCAGCCTGGAATCGATTATTCAGTACATCACTAGCATATGATCAGAGAAGTGGCTTATACATACCTCCCCAAACCCTCAAGAATTTGTGTGAGTCTGCCTACACGACTGAGGGACGTGATTAAATGTAAAGGACACAGCACTAAGTTTTTACACCTCAGTAAATGTGCAAATACAGTGGACCCCCGGTTAACGAACTTTTTTCATTCCAGTAGTATGTTCAGGTGCCAGTACTGACCGAATTTTTTCCCATAAGGAATATTGTGAAGTAGATTAGTCAATTTCAGACCCCCAAACATACACGTACGAACGCACTTACATAAATACACTTACATAATTGGTCGCATTTGGAGGTGATCATTATGCGGGGGTCCACTGTATATATATTATAATCTTTCGTGATATGTGTTTGTGTTTTGGTACATGTGTGGGGGAAGGGCAGCATAATGCAGTTATGAGCACTGTATATAGGCTTGTACATGTATGTGTAGTGTGACCTAAGTGTCAGTAGAAGTAGCAAGACGTACCCGAAATCTTCCATGTTTATGAGATAGAAAAGACACCAGCAATCCTACCATCCTGTAAAACATTTACAGGTTTTCGTTTTACACTTACTTGGCAGGACAGTAGTACCTCCCTGGGTGGTTGCTGTCTACCAACCTACTACCACAGGATGGTAGTACCTCCCTGGGTGGTTGCTGTCTACCAACCTACTACCACAGGATGGTAGTACCTCCCTGGGTGGTTGCTGTCTACCAACCTACTACCACAGGACGGTAGTACCTCCCTGGGTGGTTGTTGTCTACCAACCTACTACCACAGGATGGTAGTACCTCCCTGGGTGGTTGCTGTCTACCAACCTACTACCACAGGACGGTAGTACCTCCCTGGGTGGTTGCTGTCTACCAACCTACTACCACAGGATGGTAGTACCTCCCTGGGTGGTTGTTGTCTACCAGCCTACTACCACAGGACGGTAGTACCTCCCTGGGTGATTGTTGTCTACCAACCTACTACCACAGGACGGTAGTACCTCCCTGGGTGGTTACTGTCTACCAACCTACTACCACAGGACGGTAGTACCTCCCTGGGTGGTTGCTGTCTACCAACCTACTACCACAGGATGGTAGTACCTCCCTGGGTGGTTGTTGTCTACCAGCCTACTACCACAGGACGGTAGTACCTCCCTGGGTGATTGTTGTCTACCAACCTACTACCACAGGACGGTAGTACCTCCCTGGGTGGTTACTGTCTACCAACCTACTACCACAGGACGGTAGTACCTCCCTGGGTGGTTGCTGTCTACCAACCTACTACCACAGGAAGGTAGTACCTCCCTGGGTGGTTGCTGTCTACCTACTTACTACCTAGGATATAAACCATATATAATTAAATATTTGATCTTTCAGTGATAGAATCGTCACGTAACAGAGAGGAGGAACAGAGACAAGAGATGCAACAGGAAGAGGAGCTCGCACTTTTGCAAAACAGGCAAGAGGACTTGCTACCACAGTACGAGGACCACAAGGAGCAACCACCGCAGTTGCAGAATATGTTGTGCATCAAGCACGATCACTCCCCACCTGAACACATGCAACAAGAGCCGCAGCAGCCATCACCATTGCAAAATGTGATATACATTAAAGAGGAAGACTCACTAGGGCAAGATATGCAGCAAGACCCTCTTGCGCAAGATGTGCAACAAGGCGAACAACCACCACTGTCGCATAGCATACCAGATATTAAGCAAGAGGCGCCGGCACTACAGAGCGTGCAAGAAGATCATATATAATAGGTACAATGCATGAATGTATTTCAACAAGAACTTGTCGTTTTTTTCAAACCATTCATCACAAGAACCATAATGTTTTTGTGGTATGGTTAACTACTTTGTATGTAGGGTTAGCTATATACACTGAGAGGTGTATATTCACTAAGAATTGTCTCTGTCTATATACACCAAAAGATGTATATCTCTTTTGTATGTATACTGACTGTTGTGTCAGTGTCTCTCAGTATATATACACTGAGAGGTGTATAACTTGTGTATATACATTGAGCAATGTATATTGCAGTCTACATTGAGAGATATATATTGTGTATATACAGTACACTGAGCTGTATATTTCTCATGCCATTATACACTTCAGAGGTGTCTGTCTCTCAGTCTATATACACTGAGTGTATAATCCCTATTTTATGGATTTAAGTATTTTTGACTGGTGGTGTACATGTGACTCTCACCCTTAATGACCCTTTGCATTGTCGATAAGCTTCCAGGTCAATTAACCACTAAAGTAAAGTTGAAAGATTCGCATAGGAAAAACGACTTGGTAAAAATCAACTTTCTTGATGTTCCATTATCAGCTGGTTTCTCATGCACCTGTCTGTTTCACTCAAGTTGATACTGACAGCCAGCACCAGATTTTAGTTAAAGTAGAAGGAATAGTTGAACTGGGATACAGTAGAATCCCCGTATCTACGGATTCGGTTATCCATGGTTTTACTGATAGGTGAATAGTGACTGCAGGTGTACGGTGACTTAACACCCAGGTACCTAGTTTGCTGATGAGTGAACAGTGACAACCAGTTCAAGGAAACACAACTGGTGTAGAGACCTTTATAGTGATGTATAGACCTTGATGTATAGGTATTATAGATGTATAGTTATTTGGAAATGGTATGGTAATACTGACAAGGTATGGAAAAATGCACATAGGTATACAGTTCAAGACATTTATTACAGGAAACGTTTCGCCCAAAGTGGCTTCTTCAGTCCTTATACAGAGTTAACTAAGGAGAGAGTATACAGTAGTAGTGGTGGTGGTAGTAGTAGTAGCAGCAGCAGCAGCAGCAGTAATAGTAGTAACAGCAGCAGCAGCAGTAATAGTAGTAGTAGCAGCAGCAGCAGCAGTAATAGTGACATGGTCCTCAGACATATAGAGAAATTAAGACCTAACGAATGAAAACCTAGCATCCTTAGGCCCTGCTGAACTGTTTGCAAAGGTTTTAAGGGAATGTAAAGAGGAATTTACCAAACCTTTGGCTAATCTTTTTAACAACACTACAATCTAGCATAGTGCCAGACAAGTGGAAAATGGCAAATGTAATACCTATTTACGAAGCAGGAGACAGGTCCTTAGCTTACCTCCGAAGTGGGAAAATTTATGGAATCAGTAATTGCCGAAACAATTCATAACCATCTTTTAAGGCGTAAGTTGATTAATGAATCTCAACAAGGTTTTACAAAGGTGCATTCCTGCCTTACAAATTTACTAACTTTTTTCACTAAGGCATTTGAGGAGGTGGATCATGGTAGTGAATATGATAGTGTATATTGACTTCAGTAAGGCTTTGATAGACTTCCACATCAGAGACTATTGAGGAAACTTAAGGCACATGGACTGGGGAGAAATCAGAGTGGGGGCACGTCACAGGCGGTGTTCCACAAGGGCCAGTGCTGGGCCCGTTGTTGCTCACAATTTACATAAACGATATAGATGCAGGAATAAATAGCGACATAAGCAAGTTTGCTGATGGCACCAAAATGGGCCGTCCAATTCATTCTAATGAGGACATTGGAGCACTCCAGGATGATTTGAATAGACTGATGCAGTGGCCAGAGAAGTCGACACTTAATGGAATAACTGTGTATAGATGGATGGACAGTAGAGCAGTTTACATAGCATCCAACTATTTTATTTATTTATTAATTTGAACATGATACAGAGAAGTACAAGGAATACAATTTTTAAAGCGCAGCATGCCAAAGCCCCTTGTATGTGAGCATTATGGGCAGGCTTAAAATTAACTTAACCTTAACTAAGAAATGATATATTCAGTGGTACAAAAATTATTGTAAAACAGATAACAATTTAGTGTTGTTGTGTAATCAGTAGAGTGGAGTATTATGTTAGGTAATGAAGTTAAATAGTAACAAAGTTTGATTGGGTCACAGGTTGACATTTATGAGATACAATAATGAGATACATATATGAGATACAATTATTCAGTATTTATTTAGTTGTGAGTAAGTGATTTTTGAGAAGAGACTTGAATTTATAAACAGACAGTGTTTCTTTTATATTCACAGGTAATGAATTCCAGATTTTAGGGCCTTTTATGTGCATTGAGTTTTTGCATAGCGTGAGATGGACACGAGGAACATCAAAGAGTGATCTGTGTCTTGTGTTACGGTCATGTGATCTGTTGAGGTTGGTAAGGAGACATTTGAGGGGAGGGTTTATGTCAGAGTTAAGTGTTCTATGTATGTAGTAGGTGTAGTGATAAGTATGGATGTTTTGTATTGTGAGTAGGTTTAGTGTTTTGAATATTGGTGGAGTTACAGCCACAACTGTGAAAAGGACAGAAAAAATGGAACTAAAACAGTAATCACTTGCCCCCAAGTGGTAAAGGATTACAATGAAAACATGGGAGGATTGGAAAAGCATGACACACTGTGACACCTTTATGGTACAAACAGAACGAGCACTTTTTTGCTCTTTACCGCACTCTCATCTACCCATACCTCACCTGTGATATTTGTGCATGGGGTTCAACCACAGCAAATCGTCTTAAACCTTTAAGTATACAACAGATAGCTGCTGTGAGAATGATTACAAACTCCTTCGCCAGGCAACCCATCCCATCACTATTTAAGAGCTTGAACCTGGAGAGTTTACCTGGAGTTTACCTGGAGAGAGTTCCGGGGGTCAACGCCCCCGCGGCCCGGTCTGTGACCAGGCCTCCTGCTTAACATACGAAATATCCACTTATATTATTATGCCTTCTACATACACAGAACATTATTCTCCAAAATAAACCCTCCTCTCAAACTCCTCCTTGAGAAATACAACAGAACGCACTTACATAACACAAGGCACAAAACACTCTTTGACATCCCTCGTGTCCATCTCTCCCTAGGCAAAAAAGCTATGCATATAAAGGTCCCTAAGATCTGGAATTAATTGCTTGAACACAAGTAAGTTTATTCAGATTCACAAATACAGTTACATGGATTATCATACATAGCAGCATATGTGTAGAGAACCTGGGATAACCTAAAAAAAAAAAGTCAGTGAAATTTGGGGTTATTCTAGGTTTCTGCTTAGAAATCACCTTACCTCCCGAAATTAACAACACAAACGCTATAGTATATTATTGCCATCAACTCAAAAATTTCCAAATTTAAGATTATTTCAAAACTAAAATGGTCTCAATCTCATTATGTATAATGTGCCAAAATAATACTGTAGCTTATTAACTTGTTAATTTAATTACTGCTAAACCACTACTATCGCTTTTGATATACGTATAAAAAAAAAAAAAGTGTTCAATTTGAACCAACCGTGATATACACGTCTAGTATTAAGTAGTCTATTAAGCATTTAGTCCCTGAATGCCTTGGCATGATAGTGGCTCTCTTTGCACTTAGCAAATCAATACTGTAATTACACATTGTAAACTATGCAAGGAAATAATATCCTTAAGAAATGGTGGCATAGAATTTTTTTGGTCTAGTTGACATAAGTATCATTAATGTATATGTTGTGTATAATGAAACTCCTTCATCTCTCTCTCTGTTAGAATTCCGAAGAGAACTGACACAAGGACTTTTAGTATTTTCAACAAATCGTCGATCCCAAGGAGCTCCCAAGTGGAGAAAAGTTGACTACAGCGTACTTACTTCTGTTAGGTTCGGCAACACTGGGATACATTGGCCAAAATATATTGGCAGGAAAGGAAGGTGTGAGGTATGCTCCAAGAAAGGAAGGTGTGAGGTATGCTCCAAGAAAGGAAGGTGGGAGGTATACTCCAAGAAAGGGGTAGAATCATGACCAATATCAATTGTATCCATGAGTATGATATCCAGGTTCCTGCTCTGGTAAAACTAAGTATGAAAGAATGAGGTTTTGTGTGCGAGGGGCTTGGACTTCCAGCAGGCATGCGTGAGCGTGTTTCATAGGAGTGAATGGAGACAAATGGTTTTTAATACTTGACGTGCTGTTGGAGTGTGAGCAAAGTAACATTTATGAAGGGGTTCAGGGAAACCGGCAGGCCGGACTTGAGTCCTGGAGATGGGAAGTACAGTGCCTGCACTCTGAAGGAGGGGTGTTAATGCTGCAGTTTAAAAACTGTAGTGTAAAGCACCCTTCTGGCAAGACAGTGATGGAGTGAATAATGGTGAAAGTTTTTCTTTTTCAGGCCACCCTGCCTTGGTGGGAATTGGCCAGTGTGATAATAATAAAAAAAATTTTTATTACTTCTTACAATAGCAAGAAAAATATAGAAGTCGATGTTTATAATAGAAATTCATTTGTTTTATCAGCTTCACTGATTATTGGAATTTCATGCTATTAAAACAAGTAAGAGGAAAATAAAGTTTTTTATGTATAATTATGAAATGAAACTTATATTATTGGGAAATTATCTTCAGTTTGTCTTATATTTTATTTTTATATCGATGAAAATATTAAAAAAATTATATATAATTAAATAAAATTCTGTTTTCTAACTGAAATTTTATACACCTGTAACTCCACTTTTTACCCTCAAAGGGCCTGACGGGACACTGAGTTCCCACCATTATATTTTTTGAAATTATATTCGTGATTATTTTCATGAATAAATGTATTCCTTAGCTTCCCAGGTCTCTTCAAGGGGGGGGGGGATCCTTGGTGCAGTGAAGAGGCTTTTGGTCTAAGGAATTAGACCTTTAGGTCTCCTTCCTCAGACTGAAGCTAATTATCCCCCTTCCCTATCCCACCCTCCCCATACCCCCTCCCAACCCTCTCTTTTTTCCCATCCCATTTGTAGCCTCTGGGGTCTTCCTTTCTGGCATTACGGTTTCTAGGTAGGGGGAAGTGTGCCAGGGATCATCCCACTCTGTGGGGTCCCTCGGGAGTAGTATAGTTTGCCATGGAATCTGGATCATCTGGAGGTGCCCTGCTCCCTTCCTGGATTTCCAGGAGGTAGGGCAGGGTGTCCTGCAGGTGATGGGTGTATCTCCGGAGGCTGCTTGTCAATTCTGGGAGTTGGCAGCCGAGGGAGGCATGCTGTGTGGCGGGTGTCTGACCACCCTCTCTTTTGTCCATAAACATACTTATCTACATTCATGTTATAGTAGGTTATAGATCTACTTGGACTTCTAACTCCATTCCCATAACAGTCATTTTCATTATTTACTTCTGTCCTAATAATATTCCTAATGCTAGACACAGTTAAACCAAAGTTATATTCTACATTCTCCTTCTGGATACTCTTCTTGGCTAACATATCAACTTTATCATGAAGGAGTAATCCAATGTGTGATGGGATCCATAGCAATTGTACATTAATTCCTTGTCACAGATTTTTGAGTATCTATACCTGGCTTCTCCAATGAGCATATTATTGGAGTCATTATATGAGTCAAGAGCCTTCATTGATGACATAGAATCAGTAATGATGATAGAGTCAAGCTCAGTGTCATAAGTTAGCTTTAGTACCATTAGGATTGCAAACAATTCAGTTTACAGTGTAGACGCCCAGTTGTTAATTCTTATGCCTAACTCAACAAATTTATTATCGTTCTTAACCCCCTCAAGGAAGGTTCCTTGATGTTGGTGAGGGGCTCTTGATTTAGGGGATTGGATCTGTGCTCCAGTTCCCCGAATTAAGCCTGAATGCCTTCCACATCCCCTCCCAGGCGCTGTATAATCCTCCGGGTTTAAGTAAGTTTATTCAGGTATACACAAATACAGTTACATAGAATTATCATACATAGCAGCATATGTGTAGAGAACCTGGGATAACCCAAAAAAGTCAGGTGGAGGTGGCAACAAGAGCAGATGCAGCCCTGCCAGAAGACTCCTGTTTAGATCCATCAGTGTATATAACTTGTGATAACTTATTACTACCAGCTAGGTGAGAAATTTCTTCTTGAGCAGTTGCTCTAACAAGAGATTTAAGGAAGGGATTACTAGCAATGAGCTTCTTGGGAGGGACTTGTAGGTATGTGATATTAAATGAACACATCTTCCATGGAGGGGTGAAATGCTCTTGTTGCCTACAGTGATACAGTTCATGCAGGTTATAAAACTTAATGCAATTGCATGTTTTCACAATCCATTGTGTATTTACCTCTAGACACTTGGTAAGATTCATTGTGACAGTGTCTGGTTCGTTTCTCAACATTGTAATACCGAGTGTTACTCTCAACAGTCCTATCACTGAAAGTTAAGACACATGTACAACATCTGGGTATCTTTACTGTAGACGTTTTGCCCTCCAGTGGCTTTATCAATACAAATTCTAGGACATAATTAGAAGATGGTGAAACATCTAGCATAAAGATATCCAGATGTTGCACCTGTGTCTTAACTTTCACATTGTTGGTATTTTATACCTTTCTTGCACAATCCTATCACTGATACCAGAAATACCAAGCTCCTTCCTCATATTAAGAACCTTTGTAGATTTGGGACAACGAAGAATAATTCTGAGAGCTTCATTTTCCATTAACTCCAAAGGTCGGAGAGAACTTTGTCCCGCTAATGTCACCCTCAAGGGAGGTTCCTTGATGCTAGTGAGGGGCTCTTGATCTAGGGAATTGGATCTCTGTTCTGGTTCCCTGCATTAAGCCTGAATGCCTTCCACATCCCCCCCCTAGGCGCTGTATAATCCTACGGGTTTAGTGCTTTCCCCTTGATTACAACTATCAAGGGAGGTTCCTTGATGCTGGTGAGGGGCTCTTGATCTAGAGAATTGGATCTTAGCTTCAGTTCCCTGAATTGAGCCTGAATACCTTCCATCTTCCCCCTCCCCCACATGCGCTGTATAATCCTACGGGTTTAGTGCTCCCCCAACATGGGAGCAGCATAAATTGACTTAACATAGGCTATGTACATCATTGTCGCATTAGTACCGTAGTTGGAAGCTAGGCCTATATACCTCATACAAAAGATTTAAAAGATATATTGTTGATATAAAGATGGCATATACAGTACATGAGGTGTGAGAGAATGTCGAGTACATATTGTTACATGTTTGTCACTGATTATGTGATAATCGCGTCCAGGTCCTCAGAGGCGGGACACGTGGCAGGCGTTACCCCTTTGAACAGCAGCGCTGACTCTCTGGAACAAAAATGATCTTCCCTGGGAACCTTGTACCTGTACTTGTATTAAATAAAGATATTATTATAGAATATAACCTTTGTGGTTTAGCGCTTCTTTTTTATTATAATTAGAATATCGAAAAAAAGTTATAGGCTGTAAAATAACACTAATAGTAAACTTAATAAAAATTATATAAGAGTTATAAATAATAAAAATTAAATATCACCAATGAATTAATAAATGATAATAGAGGGAAAGAGAAGAAGAAATATCTACGTAGTTAATAATGGCTGGGGTTGCGCATGCGCACCTTCATTCCCGCCAAAACTGTGCGGCATGCGGTACGCCAGGGAAGTATAGATGACACAAACTGTTCTCCCTCTTTTGTTATAGATGCCGCGAGGAGCATTAGAACCTATTCTTAGCATTTAGATGTGTTCCTGAATGTGTTTGCATTGTTTTTAGGGTTTGTATGCCAGTAAATGTTTCTCGGGAAAATAGCTGTAATGGCTATTAAAGGGATTAAAATATTTTTGAGTGGTGGTAAAGACGTTATTTAGAGTCTTGAAGTATTAAAAATGGTTTATATCCGACTTAGTATAAGCATCGCAAGACTCCATTCTCGTGTCACTACCACTACTTCCCATACCTTCTACTGCTAATATTACCTAAATATATAAGTTATTCAGTTAATTCTCACTCCTACAAGCTCTATCTCCCGTCCCAACACGATATTAACCACATATTTAGGTGATTATAAAGGATTGGTTGACGTTCACTTGTTTAGAGTGAGTCAGGTAGCGTGATCACGTCACTTATAGCTAGTGGTGAAGCAGATAGCTGGCCAGGGGAAGACAGCCGCCATCACCTCACATCTCACATTATTTTCCACCTTGTGAGACGTTAAACAGGAGGCTGTTTGGGGAGGGACGACCCCCGCCGCCGCTGACCATGAGTTACGGCCGGGGACCCCCGGATATCAAGGGGATGACGTCCCTGAAGGTGGATAATCTGACGTACAGGACGACGCCGGAGGACCTCAGAAGATCCTTCGAGAAATATGGCGAGATAGGAGACGTATATATCCCCAGAGACAGGTTCTCCAGGGAGAGCAGAGGCTTCGCCTTCGTCAGGTACGTCATCCAGGATAACTAATACCATTATTTTATTTAAAATTTAATAATAATGGCGGACCATTTTTTTTAATATTACCGACAATGTCCTCTAAATACCCATTATTTATTAATTTTTTCCATTAAAATTATAAAATATTTATAATTACTAAGGAATCCCCTTTAATACCCATATTTGTCTTAATTTTTTTTTCCAATATGTGAAAATAACGACTAATTAAATTTTATCATTTAATTTTATTTGCTTAATTTATGTAAATTCTCCAGTGTTTCTTTATTTGGATCACCCTTGTGGGTTTAGCGCTTCTTTTTGATTATAATAATAGTTGTACCTCTGTAAGTGTGCTCAAATTTTTAAATAAATAAATAAATAAATATATGTGTATATATATATATATAAATATATATATATATATATATATATATTATATATATATATATATATATATAATATATATTTATATATATATATATATATATATATATTTATATATTATATATATATTTATATATATGTCTATATATATATATGTGTATTTGTATGTATATATATATGTATGTGTATGTAGTTATATATATGTATAATATAATTTTCTTTAATTTTGTCCTATATGATGTATAATATAATATTGACCATCACTTACCACAAACACTAAATATATAAACGTCTCCTTCAGAATACTGGCAGTATATTTCCCACCTCCAGGACTCGAGTCTGGCTAACTGGTTTCCCTGAATCACTTCATAAATGTTACCTTGTTCACACTCCAACAGCACGTCAACTCATAAAACCCACTCACTCCTCTCTGATATACTCAGTCACTAGCTGGAAGTCCAATGGTCCACCAGGGCAGGGTGGTCCACCAGGGCAGGGTGGTCCACCAGGGCAGGGTGGTCCACCAGGGCAGGGTGGTCCACCAGGGCAGGGTGGTCCACCAGGGCAGGGTGGTCCACCAGGGCAGGGTGGTCCACCAGGGCAGGGTGGCCCACCAGGGCAGGGTGGTCCACCAGGGCAGGGTGGTCCACCAGGGCAGGGTGGTCCACCAGGCAGGGTGGTCCACCAGGGCAGGGTGGTCCACCAGGGCAGGGTGGTTCACCAGGGCAGGGTGGTCCACCAGGGCAGGGTGGTCCACCAGGGCAGGGTGGTCCACCAGGGCAGGGTGGCCCACCAGGGCAGGGTGGCCCACCAGGGCAGGGTGGTCCACCAGGGCAGGGTGGTCCACCAAGGCAGGGTGGTCCACCAAGTGCCCCAAACGTATATATACGTTTTATGTTTCCTACATTTAACATTGCCACGGTAAGCCTGAGTCGCCTAGACATGTGAGAATGGGTGTGCGCACTCACTGTGCACCATATTAAAATAATTGGGGATGCCTGGGTACCATATGCTCTTTTTTTCCCATTAAAAAGCAACAATGTTTTTTTTTTTCTCAAAGTTGGGGCAGTGCGGTAGTGAACGTATATATACATTTGGACCGTTTACGGGTTAAACTGTCAAAACGTAGATCTACGTTCGCATGCATAGCGCTCTAAATGTAGATCTACATTTGATTTTACATTGTTTCTTGTGTAAAAAAAAAAAACATAGATCTACGTTTGGACAGTTTAAGGGCTAATCTCCAAGCTGCATAAATATTCACACCACACAATGCCCTCGACACATCACTGCCTCCAGGACTGTCCTGGGGGTGGGAGGTAGTGCCTGAAGGATGGCACTGCCTCCAGGACTGTCCTGGGGGTGGGAGGTAGTGCCTGAAGGATGGCACTGCCTCCAGGACTGTCCTGGGGGTGGGAGGTAGTGCCTGAAGGATGGCACTGCCTCCAGGACTATCCTGGGGGTGGGAGGTAGTGCCTGAAGGATGGCACTGCCTCCAGGACTGTCCTGGGGGTGGGAGGTAGTGCCTGAAGGATGGCACTGCCTCCAGGACTGTCCTGGGGGTGGGAGGTAGTGCCTGAAGGATGGCACTGCCTCCAGGACTGTCCTGGGGGTGGGAGTAGTGCCTGAAGGATGGCACTGCCTCCAGGACTGTCCTGGGGGTGGGAGGTAGTGCCTGAAGGATGGCACTGCCTCCAGGACTGTCCTGGGGGTGGGAGGTAGTGCCTGAAGGATGGCACTGCCTCCAGGACTGTCCTGGGGGTGGGAGGTAGTGCCTGAAGGATGGCACTGCCTCCAGGACTGTCCTGGGGGTGGGAGGTAGTGCCTGAAGGATGACACTGCCTCCAGGACTGTCCTGGGTGTGGGAGGTAGTGCCTGAAGGATGGCACTGCCTCCAGGACTGTCCTGGGTGTGGGAGGTAGTGCCTGAAGGATGGCACTGCCTCCAGGACTGTCCTGGGTGTGGGAGGTAGTGCCTGAAGGATGGCACTGCCTCCAGGACTGTCCTGGGGGTGGGAGGTAGTGCCTGAAGGATGGCACTGCCTCCAGGACTGTCCTGGGTGTGGGAGGTAGTGCCTGAAGGATGGCACTGCCTCCAGGACTGTCCTGGGTGTGGGAGGTAGTGCCTGAAGGATGGATGGGGATATTTGCTGAAGGCTGGTTTGCTTAAACAAAACGTAAATTAATTTTGCTGTCTTGTCAAGGCATTTCTGTTAAGTTTCTTGCCTACACAGGGCTCACAGTGACTACCAAAGGTGTCACTGGTGTTGGTTGCTGGAGTAGCACTCATGATGACTTAATATTAAAGGCAAAAGTCTGATTTCTCAATTTAAAGAGTAGTTCCATGCAGTAATGACCTTGACTTCAAATTATAGGACGTACAGTATTAGCTTTAAGAAATAGAGAAATAGTGGATAAATCGTATTCCTTTGCAACAAACGACAGATCAATAATAAAAATAAAATTATGCACTAAACCAGGAGTAAACTTATTAACAGCTAGTACGAGTTTGCAACTTTATTAAGGGGAACGGTGGGGGGGGGGCGTGTTAGATAAGTGTGGTCAGGTGTGCTTGCCTATTACACTTATATTTTAATGTGCCTTGCTGAATCCCACTAGCCTCTACTAATGTCTTAAATTAGAGGATGTACTTAAAAAAGAACAATTTCCAGGTACTATGATCGTCGAGACGCTGAAGATGCGATGGAGGCCATGGATGGACGAAGGCTAGACGGTAGAGAGCTCCGAGTACAGATGGCACGATATGGAAGACCAGAGACCCCTCCACACCGAAGACGCCGCCGACGGTACTCGTAAGTCGGATTTTTGTGTGAAAGTGGTTTAAGTGTGTTACACCCTTGTCTTTAAATTTAATACCAAGGTGCCGATATAAGCAATTGCAGCTTTGTGAGAAAGTGTTCATACCAAACTTGTTTTAGTTTTGTGATAATGACACAAGACATGGAAGTTAGCTATCATTGCAATCTTCAGAATCGTTTTTGAGGCGCTTAGAAAACCAACCAACTCTCTGATGATGCGAAAAAATTTTCCATACCAAACTGCTTATAATTTTATGCATATATCAAATATCTAAACGTCCACTTATTGGCATGTCACTTTTACCTTACATATTTTCATTGAGAATAAAGGGATATTTGGCTGATTATGCAGTCATACTCAAGCTGATTTGGCTCCCGAGAAAGCCTACTGACTTGCTGTACCACCTTAAAGCTCGTTAAATTTTTTAAATGACCTACCAAAATTATGTGGTTGATTACTGAGGCATTACAAAAGTTTGTACGTTATTTTCTATAAAGTCATTTGGCATTATTTTTACACACGTTTTCTGTTTCCTATTGCTGTAGCTCTTATCCTGGAATATTTCCTTTCTGGTTTGAGGTTTGGTCTGAGACTCGTCTGTGACAAGCCCTGAACTAGTATAGAACCTCATTTGCATCTAAACTGGCTCTGGAATTAAGTGGATTGTACTCTGGGGGTGGGGAGTTGAGGACACACATTTTGCTGATTTGGGCTAAATATGGATAGACTGAATTAAGGGACCTGGAGTAACGGTTTGAAGCTAAAGACAGATCAGCTACAGGAACGTTAAGAAATACAGTATACTCTCGACTTTTCCACCAAAGTATAACCTATATGCCATTCTTGATTGACCAGCCCCGCCCCCCCCCCCCCCCCCCAAAAAAAAAAAAAAAAAATAAATGCCATTGATAGGGGAAAAATGTTAAGTTGTTCGAAATAGTTTACAGACTTGACTGTTAACTGGCATTTGTGTTAATAACTGCTGCTTGAGCGGTAGCAAAACTTGCCGCACACTCCCGCCCTCTCCGCTGTTTACTCTCACAGTAAAGTGCTTCCTGACTAAAAGGAACAGTTATACCTCATTAAATAGGTACATGCCAGTCTTGGTGATTGAAGTGCGTACAGTTGACCCCCGGTTAATGATATTATTTCATTCCAGAAGTATGTTCAGGTGCCAGTACTGAACAAATTTGTTCCCATAAGGAATATTGTGAAGTAGGTTAGTCCATTTCAGACCCCCAAACATACACATACAAATGCACTTACATAAATACACTTACATAATTGGTCGCATTGGGAGGTGATCGTTAAGCGGGGGTCCACTGTACATATAATATTCATGGGTATTTAATAATTATCTGCTTGTAACTATAGGAACACGATGCTTTTGGTGTCCCACTGTAAGTACAGTGGACCCCCGACTGACGATCAGCTCCCAACTCGACCAATTATGTAAGCGTATTTTTGTAAGTGCTTTTGTAAGTGCATTTTTGGGGGTCTGAAACGGACTAATCTAATTCACAATATTCCTTATGGGAACAAATTTGGTCTATAATGGCACCCAAACAGACTTCTGGTTTGAAATAATATCGTTAGTCGGGGGTCCACTGTATTTAGCCTTGTATTATTTTTTCAACATTTTCATTGGTTGTACCCCATCTCTTCCTGTATTCCATTCTATTACCAGCAACACTGGTTCCTTCCTACTAGTTATGAAAACTTCGTTTTGGTTTCTTTTATGGCTTTACGTGTGGTTATTATATCTTCAGAAATTTTGTTTTTTTAAGCCTTTCAGTATGACATCCTCTCTTATCCCTCCTCCATCCTATTTTTTTTAACTAATAATCCTGTCGCTCATCTTTGCTTTTTCTATTTTGCGTACATTTTTGGACATCGTTCCTACCCTACCTATTTCAGTTTTGACCTAACTAGCACAGTTTTTTTTTTTTTCTTTTGGTCATATCTTGTCCATGTGCAGCATATCAAAGCTATCTTGAAGTTTAAGATAATTATCTTCCAGCGAGTCTTGCCTCATAGGTCTGTTTCCGACACTCAACATTTTATCTTCATGAACCCTTTTATTCGCCAATTTTCATTACATCATACAGTAATTGCAAAGATTTATTTCCGTTTTCCATTTGCTCAGTTTATTCGGCTCAGATGGTAGGTATATTGTATGTATGCGTAGTTGCATATTACTTTATATTATGATGCATTTTTACTAATGAATATTGTCATTGCTCATTACTAAACACACACTTTTGCCCTGAAAATTTCGCATTCAGGGACAATTCCAGGTCAAGGTCCAGGTCTCGCTCTCGATCACGGTCCCGGAGGAGGAGAAGGTCTTCACGGTCCAGGTCCAGATCTCGCTCCCGTTCTCGCAGGCGCCATTCTAGGTCTAGGTAAGAGGGTAACTATGAGTCGTGGCAACTTAAAGGGTTTGTTGACTTTTGTAAGAACATTTGTTAGTGCTTTATGGCTTAGATTATGACTATTCACTAGAATTGGCAGGAAAAGCTTGTTAATTATTGTAAAAATCTTTGTTGTCAGAGTTCTTTGTGACTTTGAAGTTCATTATACCTATTCACCAGATCTGGTAGCCGCAGTCGCTCACGATCACATTCGAGGTCACGTTCTGGAAGCAAGAGTCGCTCCCGCACCCCAGATGAACGTCAATCAAAATCGCCCGAGAAACAGGATAAGGAAAATGGAATGGATGAGGCAGCAGCCATGGAAGACGAACAGCAATTGAAGCGCTCTCATTCGCGCTCCAAGTCACGCTCGCGATCTCGCTCACGTTCAAAGTCGAGATCTAGGTCAAAGTCACGCAGCAAGTCTAGGTCCAGGTCACGCTCAAGGTAATAAACTCACTGATATTGATATATTTTTGAGGGTGGCGGGTTTGACTGTTCCATACCTTGTTTGTGTTGATTGGCAAGCTTCTCATGAGTATTACCCTTCATTTAAATTAGAGTACTGACAGGGGTAATGTGAAAACAAAACAAAAACAAAAACAAAAAAAAAGGCACTGACTGGAGCATTACACACACAACCTGCACACGGGAGAGAGAAACCATGCCACAGGCTATCGCATTGGTCTAGAGTTTTACAACTCTTTGACTGCGGGTTCTGTCCCCGCCCGTGGTATGGTTTCTTTGCCATCGTGTCATTACGATTTCAAGAGTCATGATAGGAGAGAGAAGCTTATGACAATGTTTCGATTCGACTTGAACCAAGTTCCTTTGACGTCATAGGCTTCTCTCCCATATGAGGGTTATTTGGGATAGTGAATTTCCTTCAGTTGCACGTTCCATTTGTACTTGCCTTCTTGTCACTTTAAATTAATGGAAGAATAGAAATGTGAGGAAAAATGGACCTACCTTAGAGGGGGGGGGGGCAGTGGTAGCCTCAAGGCATGAACACGGTGAGTTCCATTGTAGTCAGTTCTTATGTATGCTTTAATCTGACATAAAATAAATTATGGATGTGGTTTGGACTGTGGCACAAATTCGTAATTGATTCTGTTGGGATGATATCAAATTTGAGAAGAGATTATCGAAGATAGCGGCACTATGACATTGATGTAATTGGAAATAGGTAATGGGAGCAGAATAATGAAAATATATCTTTAGTAAAGCGTAATATAATAGGTACTATTGCATATTAAATGACACCAGTTACATGTATTAGTAAGCGAGGGGAAAGCAGGACGTATACTCTGTACGTCCTTGGTGACTTAGATAATTCAAAGTAAGGATAAGGTTAGACGAGACTGGTTCAAGGTCAGGCTGTAAGGCTAGGAAATTTATGTAGCAAATAATGGAGTGTAATCATGCATGCTGTTGAGTAACAAATATCTTTCTTTCTTTCAACACACCGGCCGTATCCCACCGAGGCGGGGTGGCCCAAAAGGAAAAACGAAAGTTTCTCCTTTTACATTTAGTAATATATACAGGAGAAGAGGTTACTAGCCCCTTGCTCCCGGCATTTTAGTCGCCTCTTACAACTCGCATGGCTTACGGAGGAAGAATTCTGTTCCACTTCCCCATGGAGATAAGAGGAAATAAACAAGAATAAGAACTAGAAAGAAAATAGAAGAAAACCCAGAGGGGTGTGTATATACTATATGCTTGTACATGTATGTGTAGTGTGACCTAAGTGTAAGTAGAAGTAGCAAGACGTACCTGAAATCTTGCATGTTCATGAGACAGAAAAAAGGACACCAGCAATCCTACCATCATGTAAAACAATTACAGGCTTTCGTTTTACACTCACTTGGCAGGACGGTAGTACCTCCCTGGGCGGTTGCTGTCTACCAACCTACTACCTATAAGTAACAAATATATAATCTTTTAATTATTATAATAAAAAAGAAGCACTAAACCACAAGGGCCATACAGCGCTGCAAAATACTTTTAAAAATAACTTACATCATTCATAGAATTTTTCACGAGGTGATTGGGTATATAATAAAGTGCACATTCACAGTTGATTTTGCATGCAACTTTCAAAAGAACCTCTTGAGATTTTTTTATCAATGGAATTTTATAAAATTAGTCAGTGAAGTGCATCCATAATGTCTCCTGTATCTGATGTACTCACGAGAGCCCAGATGAAGGCAAGAAAAGCTGTGTAAATATCACTCATTACTTATTTTTGGTATATATTTACATTTTTTTCTTCTTTGAAGGAGGGGTGTTAATGTTGCAGTTTAAAAACTGTAGTGTAAAGCACCCTTCTGGCAAGACAGTGATGGAGTGAATGATGGTGAAAGTTTTTCTTTTTCGGGCCACCCTGCCTTGGTGGGAATCGGCCAGTGTGATAATAAATAAATAAAATTTACATTTTCTTGTGTTTCTTAATAGTCTTTTAAGTCCTGCAGTATTCCCAGTTTAAATTTAGGAGACCTGGTCTGAGCCCAGACTGAGGTTTGGAACCATTAACAGAATGAGGTATAATTTTCATATTCTTTAATATCCGAGTAGGTAATTAGGTCACAGCAACAGTTTTGACAACGTAGATCTACATTTGGACAGTTTAAGGGGTAACTGATGTTAGCACACTTCTGGCCATCAAACAAATGAATGAGGCATTTAATACAGGTGCTTACCTAAGTGGGACAAGCAGTGTTTAAAAAAAAAAAATATGTATTACCCTCTCTCTTAAGAGGCACGAGTTTCCCCGTCCCATGTGTTTATTTTTCTCCTATAATCTACCTAGTCCATAATTAGTATCACATTTGCTTTGTCTGCTTTCATAAGGTGAAGTCTAGTATAGAACTTAAATCTTTAAGGACAACTGTGGTGTGGAGGTCTTTGCAAAGCTCAGACCTGTGTAACCCAACTGTCCTCAGAGATTTAAGTTATACCATGAATTGAGGAAAGATTCTAGACTTCACTTTACGAAAGCAAAGCAAATGAGATACTAATTATGGACAAGGTAGATTATAGGGGGGAAATAACATATTAGAAAACAGGGGAACTAATGTGCCCGTTAACCCTTAAACTGTCCAAACGTAGATCTACGTTTGCATTCATAGTGCTCTGACCTTGATTTTCTCCATAAAGTATGTAAACAAAACGTAGATCTACGTTTGGACAGTTTAAGGGTTAAATAACATTTAACTGCAACAACGTTACCCCTTCTTTAAGAGTACAGGCATTTCATAGGGTCACTATGTTCATAATATGCCACTAGTCATTTTGTATTGACCCCCTCTCTCTCATTCTCTTAATTTTTGTAAAAGTGTGTCGTGATATAAATGTTGGTTATATTTTCAGGTCTATGGAGTGAAGACTGGTTGAGCAAAGAAAGCAGTGGCCACAGTGGTCAAGCTGCACTGGAAATGCTGATTCCTCTCAATTCCTGTCCAGATATTTGCAGTACTGGCATGCTGGGCAGGTACTTGTTCATTTCCGTGCTTACTGTGTACTGGATCCCTGTCATCTTAAGCTAATTAGTTTATTTGTCAAGGCTGATGGTTACTCCCATGTTTTATAGTTATTATTTCTTAGTCTGTTTCTCTCTCTCTCTGTCCACTCATAAGGTTAAGAAACATTTTGAGGGTTTTTTTTTTTTATTTCTGCACACCCCTTTGGGCTTATGTATGGAATGTTTATATCCTCCAATTGACAGGTGGTCTGCCTGCTTGGATCATGCTCATTAGTTGTGAACATTTTTCTCAAATGTTTGGGATCACCCAATTGTAGTTCAATTTCCATGACTGATAATTCAGTTAACTATTTTTATCTATTCTCATTATTTTTTATGGGGTTTTTCAAATATAATTGACATGCTGTGGTAATAATTAAAAGTTAGAATTTTTTTTTTATTAATGCCATGGCTGGTTCCACCATGAGCCAAGTTAGGATGCAGTCTTGTTCAGATGCAGGTTAGGTTAAACCTAAAAATGTTTTAATATGTTTATTATTTGTATGAAATATCACACCACCAGAATTGTCTCTTGAAGCTCAGACATGGGTCTTGTCAGATTACACTTAGCCATGTGCATTAACTTTGTATGCTTAGGAAATAAAATTGACATGAATGTCACAGACAGGACTTTCCTATTCCACATGCCAAAGGCTGGTAAGAGTATGGAGTATTGTGTGTATTTACCCTTGTAGTAGCCATGTGCTGATGTATATTTCTACGCGCACAGGGCGTGGCAGTTGTTGCTGTTGTGTTGCTGTGGAGTATGGCGGGTTGCTGTAGTGCGGTGTTATGGCGGGAGCCGAGGCAGAGCCAGTCAGGCATGCAGCCGACGGGGGGGGCCGCAAGGCGCAGTACTGGCTCGCAGGGCACCAGACCACTCCTCCCCTATCACCTGCTTGCTCTCTCATTGCTCCTTATTCCGCACCATCCACTGCTTGACACATTCCCATCCTACATTTCCTCTTACCTCGGTTTCTTTAACAACCACTGCCCCATCACAACCAACAGCCCACTTACATTTCAATATTATCCCTACCCCTAAATCCAGTTGATAAAAATCCTCTTCTCCTAGGCCTTAGCTCCACGGGGAGTAATGATTATTAGGTTGAACTCTCAATCCAACTGAAAACACATTAAGGCTGTTCTAAAGCTTTCGTTAACTTTTATTTTGTTTTCATATATGAGAAGTTGGCAAGGAGTGTAGTAACTAATGTTATCCTTTTTTCCTCCTGACTGTTGACACTGTGGTGCCCTGTGATGCTGAGGAGGCGACTGACAGCTGCGTGCGGTCACCGGACAATGGTGACTCGCTGCAGCTGTGGCGACCCTTGCAACGCTGAGGGTGGTGGGTGAAAGGGCGGGTGGGCTGGAGAGGGTTGGGCAGCAGATGGCTACATGCAGGCTCCCACAAGAATCACTAGAAATTAGCTTGGTGGCTACATGCAGGCTCCCAGAAGTATCAAACACTGCACACTTATCTAGCTTGTGCCTACCTTTTTTTAAGCTGACAAAATTATCGACTTCGCTAGTAATGTTATTTGAAGGATGAAAAAGACATTTTTATATCAGCCTAGTGGTCAGCTAAGTACCTAACCAAAACACACAGACACTTCTTAACCCAGTAGACTATTGTACACTAATACATACACTCTGCTTTAGCCTTTTGTACCTCTGATCTGTGCCAATGCTCACTTACGCCTAGTGGCAAGTCGTAGGTGGTTTTGACTGCTGTCATCTGCCTGCGAGATTGCAGAGAATTTTTTTTATACTGTGAACAAGGCCTCAACTTTATGCTTCATATCACAAGGAATCTAATGCCAAGAAGCAACCATGCGTAGTGACAGTCCACACGTGGGGGATAGGACAAATATCCCAGAAATACACTGACCTGGGCTTGAACCTCCCATGGCCACCATGTTATGGTATGGTACACAATTTCTGAGGGAAATAGTATGCTGCTAATAGATCAGATACGAACTGGGCAAAGCTTTTGTCTTTGCATAATGGAAACTGAACTGATGTTTGTCCAGGCACAGTAACATTAAGGAACAAATGGGAATCTTGCTTCAGCCCTGGTCACTTATTCGTCATGTAATACTTCAAAGGGGCTTCCTCACCCTAAATGTATGTCAAAGGGTGCTATGGATGACAAGCTAAAAAATGTAAGGACTCTGAAGGGAGTTTCTTGCGTGTTGATAAGCACTATCCGGTAACTGGTTTGCAAGTTGGCATCATTGAGAATTGAGGTATACAGGATAAAAAAAAAAAAAGTCCTTGATGCCAGAGGTAAATGACTGCTGGTTAGGTGCTTAGTGAGCTGTTAGGCCCCCAATTCATAAAGAGCCGAAGTTCTATTCATTAGCATGATCTTTGTACACGGTAGCCCTTGTGGTTTAGCGCTTCTTTATTATAATAATTTGTACACGGTAGTGGAATACGTTGATATCTGGCAACTAGCTCAATATATGCACAATGTCAAAATTATAGATTTTTGTATTGCACACTTAATTATTTTTGCTAGTTTCTTAGAATTGATTTATGTAGGTGATGTACAAGAACAGTTGATATCTTTTGACATTTATGAAGCTAGCCAGACATGAGCAACAAAATGCAGCCTGCAAAATATAGCTATAAATATAGAGGTAAGAAATATAAAGTAGACACATACAGATAACTAGGTAAATGAAGCCTGGAGAATAATACATGTATTTATATTTATATGTATACTGTATATATATAAATATAGAATATATATGAATTAGTTAGGCCTAATGTATGGTTTCTTTTCCAGAACGTCATCACCACCGTGATCTCTAATTTTAGTTTTGAGACTTCGGTTTCTCGTGGAGAGGCTATCATGGATTGGCTGTGTGAATTGCTCTTATGTATGGGTTGTTTCAAACTGCATCTGCATGTGATTATCTCACTGGGAATATTATTTAAGCTTTTAAAAAAAAATTTGTTAGGGATTAACAGTTGTAATTTGCAAATGGTTACTTAATGTCAGTCTTTTACTCTGTGTTCTGAACTCTTGGGCTGTGTAATATTTAGAGCATTTCCATCAGTTGTGAGGTATCTTATAAATTCTAATTCCTCAACAGCACTGTATAGCCCTTGTGGCTTAGCGCTTCTTTTTGATTATAATAATTTAATTCCTCAAAATAGGGTTTTTGCCTTTTATTTTAACTAATGCTTGTTGATGAAATTGTGTGAATGGAAGATGGTGGAACTAGTTGATGCATTAACACAATATTGGAAATTCCTCTCCCACTCTTTATCTTCTCCTACCTCATGCCTTGCATGTCTCCTCATTTTTTTTTTCCTCTTGTACACCAAGGCATGTCAGACAACACTAGTATATATTTTGACATGAGTTCTATTGCTGTCTCAATGTGAATGTCGCAGTTGTACAGGTTGGTGCTTAGGCACTCGAAATGGGGGGGAGAACATAGGGTACATTTCTTAAATTTGTACATTTTATAAACTTTTGGATAGATAACTGCCCAAAGTGGGTTGAGGAAGGGAAATCTGTTGCTACTTCATTGAAGATGACTTTTGCCAACTCCATGGAAACATTTTTTTATGGGCTGTTATTATCTGGATGTCTTTTTACAGTCAGAACATTTTTTTCTCAGCAGTAGTTTTCAACAAAGTTTAATTTTTTTTTGGGGCGGGAGGGGGCTTGATTTAAAGTTTCATATGTACAGTACTATGTAAATCAGTATTATCAAAAAATTTATATTTGAGTTTTTCTTGTGTTGAGGTTGAGTTATAGATATTTGTCAGTGAACTTCTGATGAGATGTTTAACCCTTGTGGTTTAGCGCTTCTTTTTGATTAAATAATGAGATGTTTCCATGGCTTTGTTAGGTACAGCTGGTGGAGAGTCTGTCTGTTTTTTTTTCATTCTTAATATGTGAAGTCTTAATGTTAATTTTTTTTATAGAGGAAAACCAGACTTCTGTTTAATTTTTTTGTAGGTAAGTATTGTAGTATTTCAAAATAAAATATAAAAAGTTCTTTTAGTTTTTTACACTTCCTTGAAGCCAGTGAGGGCTCTTGATCCAAGGAACTGGGGTCAGAAATGTTCCTACAGGATTAAGAGCCAAAATAAAAACTTTTTGTGGATATGAATAAAATTTGGTGCAGGGATTGTGAACTGACTGGAATTTCCTCTCAAGGAAGGTTCTTTGATCCAGGGAATTGGATCTGTGTTCCAGTTCCCTGAATACCTTCCATCATCCCCTACAGGTGCTGTATAATCTTATGGGTTTAGTGCTTCCCCATTATAATTGACATAATGTACTAATCAATTTAGTAACCCAATACCCTTGCATCCTTCCCTGTGTTGTATGACCTTTACCCCTCAGGGAAGGTTCCTTGATGGTGAGGGGCTCTTGATTTAGGGAATTGGATCTGTGCTCCAGTTCCCTGAATTAAGCCTGAATGCCTTCCACATCCCCCCCCCCCAGGCGCTGTATAATCCTCTGGGTTTAGTGCTTCCCCTTGATTGTAATATTAATAATGTATGACCTTTTTGATTAATTGACAAATTTACCTCTTAAGAAACCTCGAAAAATAGGTAAGATTTTTATCAAACTAACTTTCAAAGTGGTTTGGTGGTGCCAAACCTTGTTGAAGGGGAAAGCACTAAACCTGTAGGATTATAGTGCCTGTGGAAGGTATTCAGGGAATTGGAGCACAGATCCAATTCCCTAGATCAAGAGCCCCTCACCAGCATCAATGAACCTTGAGAGGCCAGCGACTTATATTTACCAATGAGAACATTTAAGAGACAAACTGAACAGGAGAATATTCTACTTTATTAATTGAGGAAAATTCAAATATTATTGAGTACATGCAACAGATCCTACATCTATAATAAAGAAAAAATTGAAATTAAGGCACTAGTTCTGATTTAACCTCGAATACCAGGAACTTCTCAAATCTAACATTTCCTGATTTCAATATCAAGGCTGACAACTGATCCATTACTATGGATAACATTATTAAGTTGAGATTCTAGACTGAATCATTATAGAACTTAATTAGCTTCAATCTTGAGAAACTTCATAAGAATTATTATTATAATCAAAAAGAAGTGCTAAGCCACAAGGACTATACAGCAACTTCATAAGAAGGAACCTGAGTTGTAAGAGATTCAATTGTCCCATTCAGCTCTTGAGTATTTAGTGCCTCTAATGAAGTCAAGATGAATATTACCTTGTTGGTGCATTGTCAATCTTAGTGCTTCAAGCTTGAGATCATTATCTTTGTGGTTTAGCGCTCTTATTATAAGAGATCATTCTTGCATCCCCTTGAAGAAGGTTCCATCTTGAATATCAAGATGGTTTACAATACTACAGATTGGTACTGTATAGTCCTTGTGGCTTAGCGCTTCTTTTTGATTATAATAATAATACAGATTGGTAGGTAAGAGAAGCAACTTAATTCTGAAACATTCTGCCTACACAGTAGGCTTCTTCAGTCCAGTAGAGCTGTATAATCCTACGGGTTTAGCACTTCCCTTTGATTATAATAATAATAATTCAGTCCAGTAGAGATGTGAAGACAATGTAATCAGTCCGTCATCCTTGAAGACGTACATTTGAGGTTGTCAGTCCCTCAGCCTGGAGAAGAATTCTGTTCCTTACATATACCATTTTGATATTCACTAACACACTGGACAACTTTTTCAAGTGAGAATTGGATCTGAGAAGGATGTGACCTCTCAGGGACTACATTCTCTCCTTCCAACAGTATATAAATCATAATGAATGATTTTGAAAACAGACAACTTGCATAATTGAGACTTCCAGCAAGTGTGTTAGATAGGAGTGAATGGTATTTGGGACCTGACGAGCTGTTGGAGTGTGAGCAAGGTAATATTTAGTGAAGGGAAACTGGTTATTTTATATAGCCAGACTTGAGTCCTGGAAATGGGAAGTACAATATCTGCACTTTAAAGGAGGAGTTTGGAGGGATATGTTGTGTATTTTTATACTTCTAAACTGTTGTATTCTGAGCACCTCTGCAAAAAGTGATTATGTGAAATTGTTGAATTTTTCTTTCTTTCTTTTTGGGTCACCCTGCCTCGGTGGGAAATGGCCAACTTGTTAAATAAAAAGGAAATCTTTATTGAAAAAACGGTTTGCCACAAAATGGCTTCATCAGTCTAATATAAAACAGGAAGGTATAAAGAGTTTGAGGTAATCAGTCCATCACTTTTGTAGGAAGTGGCTTACATACTGTAGTCAGGCGAGTGGAAGCAGGATCAGTGAGACCATCCACTAGTGTAAATAGGTCTTTATATCATGATGTTGCAGTGTCTGACAGATGGGATCATGATACAAGGAATTCTTCAACACTTGCCCATTATTATAATCAAGGGGGAAGCACTAATCAACACTTGCCCATTATTATAATCAAGGGGGAAGCACTAATCAACACTTGGCCAAAGACCTACTTACACTAGTGGATGGTCTCACTGATCCTGCTTCCACTCGCCCGACTACAGTATATAAGCCACTTCTCTGGCCCTGTGCTGTACTTCCTACAAGAGTGAGGGACTGACAACCTCAAATGTACGTCTTCAAGAATGACGGACTGATTACATTGTCTTCACATCTCTACTGGACTGAAGAAGCCTATTGTGTAGGCGGAATGTTTCGCAATAAAGTTACCTCTCTTACCTACCAAGGTTCCTCAATGCTGGTGAGGGGCTCTTGATCTAGGGAATTGGATCTGTGCTCGTTGCCTGAATACCTTCCATCCCACCCACAGACACTATAATCCTATGGGTTTAGTGCTTCTCCATGATTAATAATCATTCTTGCATATTTCACTGATGACAGGTGGATTAAGGATTATCAATTTATAGTATAGGGTCATTGATTTCCCCTATATAGGCCTATTTGTACTCTGTAATCATGGAAAAATCCTGTTTCTATATAGCTTATTATATGTTGTTGCTGCAGCACTGTTGTGGCCATTAGTGTCACCTTCAGAGGCTCTACGGTATGATCACCTTTTCAGGTTTAACTCTTAAACTGATTATATTAGTATTATAATCAAAAAGAAGCGCTAAGCCACAAGGGCTAAACTGATTATAGTATATTAAAATCAACAGCCCTTTCTACCTCAATCTCTTCTTACTCTCTACCCCTGCCCAGCTGCAATCCATGATGTAATACTAATCCTTTTTTGGTACCCAATACCCCTGCCCTACATGACCCTAGTAGGTTCAGCACTTCTTTATGATAAAATCAAAACCAAATGCTAAATAAGGTTCATACAGCTCTGCAGGGCCAGATGTAGGAGTCTGCTTTAAAGGTGGGGCTGTCAGTAAGGGAATTATAATAACTATGCACTAAACCCATAAGGGTCATGCAGCAAAGGAGGGAAGTGTTAAATTAATGCTAAGCACAATAGGAGCAACTGATTTCAACGTTCCACCTGCCCATCGTTGTATATTTGCTGGTGAGGGGCTTTTGATGTGTTCCAATTACCTGATTGCCTTTCACCCCCTCAGAGGCACTATAATTCCTATGGGTTTAGTGCTCCCTTAAGTATTTGGGGCAGAAAATGATAGTTGGTGTGACTTGCAGATTTTAAAATAAAAAGAAGCGCTAAACCTACAAAGGTCGTATTCTAAGTTCAGCAGCAATGATAAAGTTCGACAAGATTTGATACCATTCTGCTAAGGATTCATATTTATTCTGATGTAAGTGTTAGAGATGTGTATGTGACTAATTAATTGTCCAAGTGGGACCAAAACATTGTTTCATTCACATTATTATAATCACGGGGAAGCGCTAAACTCTTAGGATTTTACAACGCCTATTCACATTTGCAGGTTGTCAGTGTTATGCCTTTCTATGACATAGGGGCAACGATAGAGCAGATTTCTGGATGTACGTACATTTTTTTGAGGAGCAATAGGCATATCTGTTACAAATGAAAGTAATTAAATAAGGATTATATTCCTAAGTAACTATCGAGAGAAGACCCGACAATGCACTTAGGACGTGTTTAAAGTTAATTGGTCTGAGGCAATTCATAAAATATGTACATTCTATAGAGCCTAGTTAAGGATCCTTATCAATCATAGTTCAGTGACTACTCTTTGCAACAGGCACGTTTCGCTCTTGGAGATGCGCCCTGTACCATTGTCGGGTTTCAATTTCACTTTGCCATGTTCTACTGGACTGTCATGTCTAACAGCAAGCACAAAGAATTTACCTCCGCCATTACCATCAACACCCTTACTTTATCTTCCCTCACTGATGGCCTTGACAGCAAGAGATACTACACTTCCTTTAGCACTCTTACTACCTCTATTATACTCCCCACCCTCACTAGTCTGATCAAGCATATTACACAACACACCCTGCCCTGCATTGCTGTATGACCCTTGTGGATTAAGCACTTAATTTTGATTTGGGCTAATGTGTGACCCAAGTTCCAGTACCAAAACATATCTATCTTAATAAAATGCCCCAAGTGTATGTATGTACTTGTCTTTTCATCCAGGTATGGAGTAATTTTAAAAATGCAGTCCTTGTGTGTGCAGGAAAAGTTTGTGGAATAATGTTAGAGGATAGCAAGGGAGAAAAAAGTTTGGTTATCAATTTTTTTTTATACAAGATAGATATATACAGAATGGCAGAGTATACGAAGAGGTTAAGAGTACCGAGGGAGTGAAAACGGCCAACAAGATGGGTCTTGGCAAATTTTTCCAAATAATTAAAAAAAATAAATGTTTTAGAGATGAATAGTGAGAAACCTCAAGTTACGACCCAAAGGAAATGTTAGGTTTAGGTACCGAGATGGAGAGAACGTTTTGAATTAATGATGAGAAGCGGTGAATTTGCACTTTGTGGAGGTAGGGAAAGCGCATGAGGAAGCAGCTACAACGGATAGGATACATGTATGCTCAAAGCAGGTGGAGTATTTGTTCATCATCTGCATAAAGGGTGTATAATGACTGGCAAAACGCCTGCGCAGTTTTTGTGCAAGGGCAAACAATAAGAAGTACGGCAGAAGACTGAAGAAACAAGAGGGTAGGACTGCCGCATACCCTAACCTATCTATAAATACACTACTATTTTAGTAACCTACCTCTAATTCCATGTGCCTTTTCCAAATCTATAATTGCTACAAAAAGTTCCTTACCATTAGCCAAGTGTTGTTCAATTACTCAGTGGCCACTTTAGTAGGTGCACCCGATTATTAATTGAAATATATCTAATCAGAATCGTATGGCATGAAATTCATTGCCTAAGAGCATACATAGGTTCAGAATTGGGAAGAAATGCAACGCGAATGACTGAACATGGAATGACCGTTGGTGTCAGAGAGGGTTGTTCAAGTATCTCAAACTGTTGATCTGGGATACTGAAAGTCTAGTTTATAGAATGATGTGAAAAATAATATCCAGTCAACAGCAGTTCCATGGGCAAAAATTATAAATGAGAGGTCAGACTGGTTCAAGCTGACATGACGGTGACTAACTCAGCCACATGCTACAACAGTGGTATACAGAACATCAAACCTCTTAGTGGACAGGCTACAGCAGCAGACCACCACACCAGGTTCCAATAGCTGTTAACCCGTAAACGGTCCAAACGTATTTATACCTTTTTTCAACATTTGAAAGTATGTAAAAAAGACAATCTTCTTTTTGTTTTTTACACTTGAAAATGTGTAAAAAACGTACATTTACTTTTGTAGCGCTACACACGTGGACGTAGATCTGCTTGGACCGTTTACGGGTTAAGTAAGAATAGGAATGGGCAAGAGTGCACAGCCTTACTGAAGATCTAAAAAAGGTTGCCTGTTATTATAATCATGGGGGAGCGCTAAACCCGTAGGATTATACAGCGACTTTGGGAGGGATGGAAGGTATTCAGGGAACTGGAGCACAGATCCAATTCCCTAGATCAAGAGCCCCTCACCTCGAGGGGAAAAGGTTCCCTAGTCTGACGAATTGCGGTATCTTCTGCAACATGTAATTGGTAGGGTCAGAATTGTGTGTCAACTCTTTGGGATGTGCTGCAATGGGAGATTCACAGCAAGAATATGTATTAACTACATGATGCTATGCATGAACTGGAAATTCTGAAGAATGTTTTGAGCACCTTGTTAAATTAATGCCACAAAGGATTAACTGTTCTGGGGGCATACAGGATCCATACCCATTATTAGAAGGGTGTACCTAATATAGTGGCCACTGTGCGTATATGCTTCAATGTAAGTACTTGTTCGACAGACAACATTCCCTACTCTCTAAATCATTCTTGTTCCTTTGCTGTCTGTTCCTGTAACTATTAATGGGTAATTATACACCCGATTACTGCATGGGTTTGTATATGCCGAGAGTTGGATATTATAGCAACAAACTTGATTTAATTTTATTGTAAAAATTGGATAGTATATAATTTACCATGTTTAAAAATTTTTTTATATAAATTTCCTACAGTCGTTCTTACAAATCTGTGGGATTTTTCCCATTCGGAGGATCTGAGTCAACATTAATTAAATGCACCCTGCAAAGTATCTATATTTATTGATAATTGGCTTTCCCACGTGCCAGTAACCATAGTCTTGCCATTACTTCCCTACAAATGTTAATATTCAATAGTGTTTACTAAAGTTATATATATATTGCAAAGGAACCATAATTTGAAATATATTCCACAATTTTTTTTTTATCTGCTGTTATTAGTTTAATGGCACTTTGAGGAAGGCAATGCTCCCACAGATGTGTAATGACGATTGTACGTACAGTGTACAACTCGTACTCCCAAGGAAACAAAAGAAAAAATCAAAACTTACCTAACATTTATTTTTGTTGAAAAGAAATAAATGGTTACAACAATACATTTTTTTAAAAGCTGCACTCGTGTTGTGTGTTTGGTTCACTTAACATAGAGGAGTGAAGATGCTTGGGAAACCAGAGACAGCTGAGTGAAGCAATATAATACAGGGCTGTATCTAGGTCGACACTGTTCCGTAAACACTTTGGACGCCAGAACTCGAGCAATAACCCCTGCACCACACGGCTGAGTACATGAATCGAAGAAAATATCAATTAAAAAATGTACCTTCTCAGTTATAAAATAAATTATGGCAAAAATCTGACTTTGGTGTCTAAACAGAGCAGGTAATTATTGAATTATAACCATAAAAATGTACCAAACCCAGAATATGTAGTACTGAGAGGAACAACTTCCTATAATCCCAGGTCTGGTGTCTTGTCCAAGTCTAGATACCACCCTGAAATATGGTGCTTAAGGTATTACGAGATTCATAGGTTTGTACGCTGGTCCTAGAGCCAGTGTACATTCCTGGCAAGAAGAAAAATAAGATTCATTTCCGCATTAAATCTAATAACACACTGGAGTTTGGTGCTTACGATGTGAGAGGAGGAAGCTGCATCATTTCCTCTGCTGCTTCACCTCCATTCCTAACCTAGCCTACTGGTAATGCGAAATAACCTGGATGACATAGTAGGGTGCAGTAAGTGCCTCGGTGGTTCACACTCGGGTTCACTAGTCTGGTTACTGGCTATCAAGTGGCTTGCAAGCCAGGTACCACAACATATAAATGTTTCTCAAGAAAATCTTCAGTAACCTAGAATACCAAAAGTACTAAAAAAAAAAAAAAAAAAATTAAAATTAAAAGCTAAGCCTGGCACTTACAGCACCGCTGCTATGCATCACATTTCGTGTAACTAAGAGCTGCTCTAGGGTGCAATGGTAACATCTTAACCAAATAAAATTAACTACTGAATGTATGTACATATATGTATATATATTTTTTAATATATATATATATTTAATCATTTACCTTCATAAATTTAAATGTAATACTTTACAACTACTTGATATACACAGGTATGTTTTATGCAAGTAGCACTATGACCCTTGTGGGTTTAGTGCTTAATTCTGATTGCAAGTAGTTGCGAGTCTCCTGACCTGGGTTAACTGCCAGTAATGAGGTGGCAAAGTTTAGTGTGTTAGCTGCACGTGTTACAACTCTCCAGTGAGGTCTGGTCTGCGACCGGGCCGTGAAGGGGACGGTGACCCCAAGAAGTGCCATGAGGTTACCATAAAGTAAGGTGACCCAGAGCTGCAAGCTTTGTATTAGAGTGTGAACTATTTGTCCCCACTTTAGTAATAGCAAATGCATTGTCAACTGGAGAATATAAAGCCTAAGGAAATGCACTTTAAAGTTTACCCTTCTAAAGATCGTGGAGAATACCAGCTTACTTGTCTGTGTCGAGTCTGAACTTCACAGTAGCACTAAGTTGAGCCTAATATAGGCTTCATGTGCCCAAAAATGCATCCACTCTGAGGTTACTGTTTACTAGGATCTTCAACCAGATTCTGACGCGACACAGTCAACAACGATTCAAGCAATGCACTAATTTTTTTTTTTGCATAATATGGAGCTCAATTGATTCTGGTAACCAACCAGCTGAACACATTACTGTTACATGCTAATAGCCATTAAATGAGAATTAAACTTGGAAAGTTAAATGACAGCGAGCTACCAGCCATCACAAGAGTTTTGTAAAAGATACTTATGGTCCATAATTTCAAGACAATCCCGAGCTTACTACTACACGACCTGCTCCCCACTGGACCAATGAGTGCTGGTCCTTCTCGCCGTGGTTAAGAGTTGTGGCTATGCTTTGTAAGACAGGTGGAGAGCAAGTCCCATCTGGTAATGGTAGCAGGCACTTATGACTCCAGACACATGCGACGAAAGACAGTGTTCCTCCATCCCACACCCTTCCCGGTGATGTCTTCCCTTCAGTTAGCTTTACTAAGGCCTGAGGACTTCCTCAACCTCATACATATCACAAACTTAATGTGCAGGCATTGGACGTTTATCCTCAAATTACTTCCAAATAAATTTTTAGCATTATGCTCATGCTTTATTCACTAGTACAGTGAATCCTAGATTTAATGGACTAATAGGGGTAAGCAGGTGGGCAGTAATTGAGATTGTAGTGGCTGGAGAGCGGATTGTTCAGTCTTCATTGCAACACTGGAATAAACTGACCCAGCGGATTTTATCCCACATTTTCAAGGTCCATTAAATCGAGGGTTTACATAATCTTGATAAAATTCTTTATGCCCAAATAAAGAATATGCACATGGTGTAAAGGTTGGAAAACCATGTCCCACTAAACAGGGATATTAGACCATAAATTCTACCTGACATCCAGCTGAGGCACTTTTACCATGTTAACTTATTTATCAGTCATTAGACAATACCATATACTGTATATATATTTATATATATATATATATATATTTATATAATGTACTAAAGAGATGGCCCAAAATGAACCCTGTACAAATTTATGTGCCCCATCAACAGTGGAAGGCTGACAAGAAATTGGTAAAGAATAGTGGTAAAACCATTCGTTTTTTTGAAGAACGGCAGTTTTTAGTTAAGTAGGCTACAAGTTACATGGCTTTACTCTCCCATAGCTGCCTGGCAACTACTACATCAAAGAGCAACAGCTGCAACATGACAGGTAAGACAGGAAATCAACCCGAGTTCTTGTCAGTGTAGGGACTGATGGCAGCCAATGAGCTGAGCTGCTTGTGGCGAAAATCCACTTTACTACTGATTTTGACTCGACTCGTGAAATCTTGAGTTTTTTTTACTACTGCTTTTTTGTACACAGACTATCATTCAATACAGACAGATATCAAACTGAATAGTAAGAAAAATAATGCTATAATTAATACCCTTGGTGTCCTCAGGCTATCTCACTTGCATGAAACAAGGAAAAGAATGAATGCACTGTATTTCACAAACAATAAACCTGTGGGGGTTCCTTCAGCCCAAGAAGTGGTGGAGGCTCAATCCTCTCTTCACTAATCCCAGCCTGGTTCTCACCAGTCAGGTTGCTGGTGTAATCCAACAGAATCTTGTCTAACGTAATAGCTCCATATTGAACAAATCTTAAGTGTTGGGTTATGTGTGTGTGTTGAACTAATGTGAAGGTACAATTAGTAGTGGAGACTAAAGAACCAGAAAAAATGCTCTACAGAGTTAAGCCTTAATATACAGTATCTTGTAGTAATTCATGTTCAACAGAAAATACTATCTTAATTAAGAATACAACACAATACTGTATCCAAAATGCGAATAAAATTTAAACAGGAGAATAATGTAAAGTAACTGAGGAGGATTAAACTAAGCGTGTACACAGATAATAGTCAAATTTACGGTAAGCATTAAGAGAAGAAAGCAAAGAAATACATCTATGCTTCACACAAGGCTTGAAGGAGAGGGGAAAGAGTGGGTACCACATCTATGTTTCATGAAAAGACTTGAAGGGAAGTGGGAAGAAGGGAACACACTACATTTAAGTCACAAGAGGCTTGATGAGGAAGAGACAGGACCACAAGTACAACTATACTACACACAAGACTTGAAGAGGAAAGGAAGAGGGCATTACAAATACATCAACAAGTTACACAAGGCTTAAGAAAGAGGGGAAAGATTGGCCCACACTGTACATGGTGCCCTGTATATGTACAGTGCAACCCAGAACAACTAAGTTGGAACAGAACCAGTCAAACCATACCACAGGCAAGGATAGAACCCATGATCAGAGTCATAAAACTCCACAATGATGCGTTAGCCCATGGTACGGTTTGTTTGTAATCATGTCATTACGATTTCGTGGGTCAGACCAGTCACCATGAAATACAACCTCAGGTGGGGCTTCCTGGAACTCTAGGCTTTATTAATGGTTGAAGCACCTTCTCTAGCCCATTCAGGAATAAAGGAAGAAGAAAAAGGTATTTACTTGAAGCTGATTTAGACCTATATAACAAATGAAAACAATTATATCCCTAAAAATATATGAATTTTCACCTTTAATTATACCATAAAGTTAGTATTAACAACATTTACACGAGATCTTTCTGTAAAGGCAAGTCCTAGGCATTTACATTTCGAGACCCTATTCATTTAGACTTCCGTCTTGCAACAGGTTTTTTGTAACTTCCTTTGAACTGTCATAATCAACAAATATGACTATTGGGAATTTTAAGATCAGGAACATTTCTCTTAATGCACGAGTGTGTCTGTATGTACCGCTATCAATGAGTTCAAATGATCCATAAAATATTTATGAAAATGAGCTAGAAGCATTAGTGAATTTCTGTAGCTGCATAATCAACAAGGACAAAAGTTGTGTAACTTAATATTAAACATCATTGGCTTCAACCCAAGACAACAAACCCCCTCCGAGACACGTTTGTGTGTTTCAAACGCAGGACAAAATATTTAAGACTCCCAGGCAAAATTTAGAACAGAATGAACAATGAAAAATTGAAAACAAGCTTGCCAGGTTCCAGTTTACATTCTTAAACTCCCTCCTTTTCCCCCTAAATAAAAAATTAACTTCATCAGTGGTCAAGCTTGGTACTTGAACTGGCATCAACAGGGTTCATATACCAATTGAACTTTGAGGGTCATTTCAAGAGCTGTAGGAAGATAACGAACCCGTGGGATGCCATACATCAATGAAGAGCCTGCTAGCATAAATAACTTTCCTGCTAAACAGATCTTACATCTGGGTAAGTCTGGAAGCACTTCTGAACTGATAATAATCGTAACCAAGAGAGTGCTTATAAGAAACCCAAAGTCCACTGTGGAACAATACTCCAGTAGTGAATGTTACATTAGTTTGTATGTGCTGCACAATGCAGGAGAATGAGAAAACTCAAGCCCTCACTACTATCACTGATAATAGCTAAAAGGAGAAACTAGCACACTGGGTAGACACGTCAAGGTTCTTAAAGCCTAAGTGTCCTCCGCCGCTCTGTCTGCAGCGCTGTTCCAGTATTTCTCTGCGTCACACTGGCTTCAGTGCTAGAAGCATCGACGCAGTAAGGAGATCTGCCAAAAGAAATTTAATATTAATTGGTTTTACTCTAATGCAAAAAATTTTTTCACAAGCAAATGCCACATTTTAATAAATTTCTTTTCAACAAACTGGCCATATCCCACTGAGGTAGGGTGGCCCAAAAAAGGAAAGCAAAAGTTTCTCTTTTTAACTTTAGTAATGCATACAAGAGAAGGGGTTACTAGCCCCTTGCTCCCAGCATTTTGGTCACCTCTTACAACACGCGTAGCTTATGGAGGAAGAATTCTGTTCCACTTCCCCATGGAGTTAAATATATTTAACTAGATATATTTTCATTACATTTAAACAGCCAAGGAAAACATCTCAGGCACAGGTGTTTCCTATCTATCAAGCCATGGATAAAGGAAAATGTTGTTGATCCCACACATTACTTTTAAACACAAATAATGGGGTCGCACACCCTGAATGTGTAATAATGACCGTAACAAATATAATTAATTCCCTTAGCCACAAAAATATAAGGTATGCAAATAGCTCACTGATGATATATACACGGCACTAAGACGTGGTTTTGGGCAATAATCAGCACCATGCTTGGTGAATGTTGTGTTCAGTGCAACTGAAATGGGGTTATTCCATCCAAAATTGAAGATCTACTATACAGAACTAATTATATCTTTAAATGATATGATAGAAATACTGTGAAAAAATGGGATTATCCTCGTACAACAAAAATCAACGCCGGATCTGCTAAATATAATACCAGTAATAAAACACTGCACCAATTATAAATGTGAACTTTTTGTCCTGTTCAGAAACCAAATTCACTGTTTTATGCTAACCTTGATGTGCTTATCATAAGTTTTTTGAAATATCATGATTGATATTTTGGCTATTTAAGGGTCAACAATTATATGTTACCTAACAATAGTTGATATTATATTATGCATAGATATAAAGAGGGTAAATGCAATGACAAAACATTTTTAATGCAAATCCACTATACTTTTTCTTTTTTTATTAACACACCAGCCGTTTCTCACCGAGGAACGTGACTCGAAAAAGAAGAAACACTTGCATCATCATTCACTCCTTTACCGATTTGCCAGAGGCACGCCTACACTACAGTTAACCCTTTCAGGGTTTCCGACGTACTAGTACGGCTTACGCACCAGGGTTTTTGACGTACTAGTACGCCTAAATTCTAGCGCCCTCAAATCTAGTGAGAGAAAGCTGATAGGCCTACATATGAAAGAATGGGTCTATGTGGTCAGTATAAAAAAAAATCCTGCAGCACACAGTGCGTTATGAGAAAAAAAAAACTGACCGTATTTTTGGTTTAAAACAGCAACTTTGCACTGTATTTTCGTAAAGTATTTATGATGGTATTCTAACTTTCCTGGTCTCATTTTATTGAATGGAAGACATACTACAGAAATTGAGACAATTCTGACTGGTTTTACAATGAAAAGTACCTTGAAATTGAGCTCAAAGTAGCAGAAATCTTCGATTTTTTGCGAAAGTTCAAAAGTAAACAAATCATGCTACGCGTCCAATACACGTCAACTGGCGAGTCTAATATTCTTTCACAAGTGTGATGATATTATTTATACCATTTCTACACTAATGCAATAGTCTGCATAACAGTAAATCTTCTATTTTTTGTGAGAATAAAAATTCAAAGTGGAAAGCCAAAGAATGTAAGAGAGGCCTGGGGATGTGACTAATGAACAGAGGAAATGTTATTTTAGTGCCAGGAATGTCTTTCTTGTTTATTCTGGAACCTATTTGGAAATTGGCATCTTGTGAAATTGGCAAAATTGCTAAATTCTGACCACTGTATTGGATAGTTGAAATTGGTAAATGGGTGGTTTCTTGTACTCATTCAATAGAAAAAATGGAGTTATAGCGAAAGTTATGACCTTTGTCGACTAGTACACTGGTCAAAATCGCCGAAGCGTAAACATCGTCGAGACCGCTAACTTTGTGAGAGCATAATTCCGCAAGTTTTCCATCAAATTTCATACTTTTGGTGTCATTATATCGGGAAAAGATTCTCTATATTTTCAAAAGAAAAAAAATTTTTTTTTTTCTTTTTGAAAATTTGGCCGACCCTGAGAACAAGTCTGGGAGAGGGCCTGTCGACCCTGAAAGGATTAAACAACTACAGTGGACCCCCGCATAACGCTATTAATCCGTTCCTGAGAGCTCAATGTTATGCGAAATTAATTTTCCCCATAAGAAATAATGGAAATCAAATTAATCCGTGCAAGACACCCAAAAGTATGAAAAAAAAAAATTTTACCACATGAAATATTAATTTTAATACACACAAACTTAAGAAAACATGCACAGTTACATGACACTTACCTTTATTGAAGATCTGGTGATGATTGATGGAATGGGAGGAGGAGAGACTGGATGGTTTTAGTGTTTAGAAGGGGAATCCCCTTCCATTAGGACTTGAGGTGTCAAGTCCTTTTCTGGGGTTGCTTCCCTTCTTCTTTTAATGCCACTAGGACCAGCTTGAGAGTCACTGGACTTCTGTCGCACAACATATCTGTCCATAGTGGCCTGTACCTCTCGTTCCTTTATGACTTTCCTACAGTGTTTCACAACAGTGTTAGTGTAATAGTCACCAGCACGGCTTGCAACAGCTGTGTGAGGGTGATTTTCATCCATAAAGGTTTGCACTTCAAGCCACTTTACACAGATTTCCTTAATCTTTGAAGTAGGTAACTTCTTCAATTTCTCGTCTCCCCTCCTCCGAAGCAGTTTCCTCAGGTGTGGCCTCTTGCTGTTGAAGATGATCTAGCAGCTCATCAGTGGTTAATTCTTCATTGTCCTCCTCCACCAACTCTTCCACATCCTCCCCACTAACCTCCAACCCCAAGGACTTCCCCAATGCCACAACTGATTCCTCAACTGGCATAGGATTCTCAGGGTTAGCCTCAAATCCTTCAAAATCCCTTTGGTCTACACATTCTGGCCACAGTTTCTTCCAAACAGAGTTCAAGGTCCTCTTAGTCACTCCCTCCCAAGCCTTACCTATAATGTTTACACAATTGAGGATATTAAAGTGCTCTCTCCAAAACTCTCTTAAAGTCAATTGAGTTTCTGAGGTCACTACAAAGCACCTTTCAAACAGAGCTTTTGTGTACAGTTTTTTGAAGTTTGCAATAACCTGCTGGTCCATGGGCTGCAGGAGAGGAGTGGTATTAGGAGGCAAAAACTTCACCTTAATGAAGCTCATGTCCCCACAAAGTTGCTCTGCCAAGTCTGTACGATGACCAGGGGCATTGTCTAACACCAGGAGGCACTTAAGGTCTAATTTCTTTTCAGTTAGGTAATTTTTCACAGTGGGGGCAAATGCATGGTGTAACCAGTCTAGAAAAAGTCCCTAGTGACCCATGACTTACTGTTTGCCCTCCACAGCACACACAAATTAGCCTTGAGGACATTGTTTTTCCTGAACACTCTGGGAGTTTCAGAGTGATACACCAATAAAGGCTTCACTTTGCAATCACCACTAGCATTGGCACACATGAGAGGAGTAAGCCTGTCTTTCATAGGCTTATGTCCTGGGAGTGCCTTTTCCTCCTGAGTAATGTAGGTCCTGCTTGGCATTTTCTTCCAAAACAGACCTGTTTTGTCACAAACACTTGTTCAGGTTTCAGTCCTTCACTGTCTATGTACTCGTTGAATTCATGCACATATTTTTCAGCTGCTTTTTGGTCCGAACTGGCAGCCTCACCATGCCTTATCACACTATGTATGCCACTACGCTCTTAAATCTCTCAAACCAACCTTTGCTGGCCTTAAATTCACTCGCATCACCACTAGTTGCAGGCATTTTTCTAATTAAATCCTCGTGCAACTTCCTAGCCTTTTCACTTATGATCGCTTGAGAGATGCTATCGCCTGCTATCTGTTTCTCGTTTATCCACACCAATAACAGTCTCTCAACATCTTCTATCACTTGCGATCTCTGTTTCGAAAGCACAATTAAACCTTTGGCAAGAACAGCTTCCTTGATTGCCGTTCTCTTGGACACAATAGAAGCGATGGTTGATTGGGGTTTACTATACAACCTGGCCAGCTCGGAGACACGCACTCCACTTTCATACTTAGCAATGATCTCTTTCTTCATCTCCATAGTAATTCTCACCCTTATTCCTGTAGGGTTGGCACTAGAAGCTTTCTTGTGGCCCATGGTCACTTATTTTTCAGGTGAAATCACTATAAAAAGGCTGTAATAATACGAAATGTTCCGATTGTATGCTTGAATGTTACCGCGGAGGCTGGCTTGTAAACAATGCCACTGGCAGAACAAGTGAGGCTGGCTCAGGCCGCATGGACGTGTCTCGGACGAATCGCGTTGAGCGTATTTTTTAGCACTATGCGAGGCAAAATTTTAGCACTAAAATGTATCACTATGCGGATTTAACACTATGCGATGCCAACGTTATGCGGGGGTCCACTGTACTACGATTTTATGACAAGTTTGCTTTGAGTCAGCATGTAATGGAACAGACGAACAGATAACACTGTACACTAAATTTGATTTTTATGAACAATGTAGAACTAATCACACATTACTCACAAAATCGTAATGACACGATTTCAAACAAACCACGATACAAGCAGGGATTGAACTCGCAGTCAGCGAGTCACGAAACTCCAGACCAGTGGCTAATGCGTTGGTCTGGAGTTTTACAACTCACTAGCCGCGAGTTCCATCCCCGCCCGCACCGTGATTAATCACGTTACTCAAATCACAACCTTACAATATATAAAAACGCATCAGACGCACAAGGATCACAAATACAATTTTCTTGGATCATGACCATCTACTATCGATACACTAATCTGATAGTTGTACACACCTTTATGAATGTTTCATGGTCCACCTCATTCTGTAGACTGTTGCTGGATTTCAATTTTCTCCACAGTCATGTCTGGGTTCATGCTTGTGGCTTCTTGGATGGCATCAGCCAAGGCGCGGTCATGGTCGATGGGATCACCATCACTCTGAATGGTGATTTTCTGCTCTACGCGAGTCTCCAGCACTCCATCTTTCTCAGTCTTGTACTATGAAGGGAAGGGAAAATGTATGAGTGTGGCAGACATTCTGACAGCTTATTTTTTTTATTATCACACTGGCCGATTCCCACCAAGGAAGGGTGGCCCGAAAAAGAAAAACTTTCACCATCATTCACTCCATCACTGTCTTGCCAGAAGGGTGCTTTACACTACAGTTTTTAAACTGCAACATTAACACCCCTCCTTCAGAGTGCAGGCACTGTACTTCCCATCTCCAGGACTCAAGTCCGGCCTGCCGGTTTCCCTGAACCCCTTCATAAATGTTACTTTGCTCACACTCCAACAGCACATCAAGTATTAAAAACCATTTGTCTCCATTATGTCCACACATATTCATTTCTTTCTCTTGTACACAAACATTCACTTGTTATGCTCCTATCCCCACACACAAACTGCCTTTTCAGTATCCCTAGAATTCTGCTTGTAACATCACTCTTCTCTTATACACAGCCTCTCCTCACTTTACAACGGGTTGTGCTCCTAAGACCACGTCGGTAAACGAGTACGTTGCTAAGTGAGGAGAGGCTGTACCACATATTTCAACACTGCTTGTGCCTTCTCATTCCTAACATTTACCTCAAACATGCTCTCCCATTTTTTTTTTTATTAACACACTGGCCAATTCCCACCAAGGCAGGGTGGCCTGAAAAAGAAAAACTTTCACCATCATTCACTCCATCACGTCTTGCCAAAGGGTGCTTTACACTACAGTTTTTAAACTGCAATATTAACACCCCTCCTCTCCCATATATGTCTATATTCACTCACTATTACTCTGCTCTTCTTTTCCCCCACCATTCTCACTTGGTCAGGTAGACGAATACTCTTCACACACAAGATATTCAAGTGCCACGATGTTTCACACAAAAACAAGGATGTCATAGCTAAAGTTAAAACGTTATTGCCCTCTAATACTAGAGTACAAACTCTACATGGTAACAAACTTTGGAAATATATTTAAAATATTGTGGCACAACCTATCTCTGTCTTCCATTCAGCACAGTTTCCCACAAATAAGTAATCAAGATGAAAATTAAAAGAAAATATATAACCTTTCCACGGAATGACTTTACACAAAAATAATTTCAATACTTTTTTATTATTATTATTATCACACTGGCCGATTCCCACCAAGGCAGGGTGGCCCGAAAAAGAAAAACTTTCACCATCATTCACTCCATCACTGTCTTGCCAGAAGGGTGCTTGACAGTGAATGAAACAGGGTAATTTTTTTTTTTTTTTAACACGCTTCCCATCTCCCACTGAGGCAGGGTGACCCGAGAAAGAAACACTTTCACCATCATTCACACTATCACTGTCTTGCAAGAGATGTGCAGATACGACAGTTTAGATGTTCTAAACACCAAATATCTCAAACCAGACCCACAAAATTTAGATGCTTAATACAAGACACTTCATATCCCATGACAAAACAAGGCATCACAAGCAGAATCTCTAATCGCTATATTCCAGGTTACCAGACACCCGGCAACTCTCTTGTTTATGTACATACTTCTTAACGTATTCATCTATTTCAAGCGAAATGCACCGCATGTTAGTGGCTTTCTTTTGTGCTTAACAATATTATATGTAAACTACATTGCATATATTGCACAAAGAAATAATTTGTTACACGTACTATAAGCTCCTTAGGGATAAACGAAACAATGGGTTAAAAGGACCAGTGACACGTCGATACCCCAGCTCAAGTACGATACCCAGACGTGGGCACTCAAAACAATCTTCCTACTCAAGAAATTTCCTGATTGATTCAAAAGCCTTGAGTAAATCTTGAATATATAATAGTTACCTTAAATTGAGAGAGCTGCCTAGCATGAACCAGTAGGCCTACTCAACTGCTCTTCTGTTTTTACATTAAAAGACTGAAAAAGCTGAGTAAATTACTCATTCTTTGCCGCTTAAATTGGCCAAAGCTTATTTCCACTTATTCTTCCAAAAACATCCAAGACTCAGCCACCATTGACTAACTTTCAAATTACTCTGATCCAGTTCTTATGTTACACTGCATTACACACCTATGTCAGTTTACCTCCATAATATAAATCGATACAAGCATTTCCTAAGAAACTTCACAAGTGGTGAATCTTGAACCCACGGCAAGGCGAGTCCTAAAATTCAAGCCAGTGTGTCAAGTCCATTCTGTGATTTGTATGCTATTGTGTTATTTCCTGAGTTATAGGGGCTCTGGTGGCCTGGTGGTTAATGCTCTCGCTTCACACGGTGAGGGCCTGGGTTCGATTCCCAGCCAGAGTAGAAACATTGGACGTGTTTCTTTCCACCTGTTGTCTATGTTCCCCATCAGTAAAATGGGTACCTGGATGTTAGTCGACTGGTGTGGGTCGCATCCTGGGACACTGACCTAAGGAGGCCTGGTCACAGACCGGGACGCAGGGGGGTTGACCCCCGGAACTCTCTCCAGATACCCTAGAAGAGTTACACATTTCTTCACTAATGTCTTGCCGTACTGCATATCTCCAGTTCCTACATATCTTTACTTTCATTCCCACCTTCCACCCTAGTATATATTTTAACTACCAACCTTCAGACCACATCCATTCTTCATATACTTGAACAGTAAATAGTATACTGACAAAATTGTCTACCAAATGCATAGAACTCCATAGGCAGCTACACTGGTCTCTCTCAACATCACAGGTTCTGCAAGCGCTACTTTGCTGCCTGTGTGGGGGCAAGGTAAACTAGAATGGGTAACGTAAACAAGAATTACCTATGAGAAGGATGCAGGTGACCAGGGTCCCTCAGTGCTGTTATGAGATCAAGTACAAGGCCTTCCTCAGTACCATTACAAGATCAAGGACAAGGTCTCCCTCGGTGCCGTTACGAGACCAACACTCTACATGCCAACTAGGATCAGGTAACCACAGACTTATACACTAGCGTGCTCACAACTCCCATTCCCAGTGACACATACAAAATCACTATGTAACCCAGACAGCCAAGAAAGAAGACTGTGCTATACCATCACCCACATCCAGTATGACGAAGCAATCACAAACAATCATGGCCATAACAATTAATACTTACCCAACACTGAAAAACAAACGGTGTACATGTTCAACATTTATGTACAAAAAATAAGAGGGGGGATGTAATGTACAGTTATAACAAAATTACACAATCAAAATAAGCAGCAGCACATGTACAAATTTAACTCTGGAAAGCACACCAAGATTACTAAACAAGTACATATAACAATAGTGTACAACTACATTTAAAACCCATTTTAAACAGGTACATAGTATGCATTCTGTCATCAATTTGTTGTATAATATTTATGTATTCTGGGTGTTATGGTTACTTCGAGACATTGTGCAAACACAACTTTCTAAACAAGTTCACGACTTAACTTTTCATACACTAAGTAAAATCTCGTATATCATGCCGGTTACACTCCTGAAAAACTGTGCCTATTGTGAAGGTATTTTTTTTTCGCAGATGTATTTACAGGTTATGAACCGTAACGTTACCTCACCCCAGCTCATTTCAACACCTGACAACCAGGTTCCTACTTATTGCTAGGTGAACAGGGGCAACAGGGATAAGAAAATATACCCAATGTTATCATTCATGCTGGGAATCGAACAATGTGTCAGTATGACAGCAGAGGATATTACCAACGAGTCATGGGATATACATGTGGGAAAACATGCCTATATTAAAAAAAATTAAAATATAATTTGTTAAAAATATTTTTCTTTCCTTATCTACACTGTAGTTGTCTTGATCTGCCTCTACCTAACATAGTAAAATAAACCAACTTTGCCTTGCCTTAAATTCTGGCCGCTAATAGTAAACCCACGATACCAAGAAATTTTAATATAATGGGTAAAATTCACTGAATGAATTGTATTTTTATCTCCTTTATTTTCAGTTTATTGTAATATATTGTTAAATTGTTTATACAGTACTATATTAAGTGTACAGTTGAACACTCAAGTACAGTATTTTGATTTATGGATGCTAGCACAATTCCCCTAATAAGTCCATTATATCAAAGATTTACTGTACTTATAGCGTGTTGTTGATGACTGGAACAAGTGGAATCACTGGAACTAATGGCTTTTGGGAAGCTTTACTAACAAGATGGACACATATGTGAAAGGGTTGGGTTTGTAGACCTGCCTAGTATAGGCATCAGGCCAGCTTGCATTCTTTTGTGCTCATTTAGGAAAGCAGTAATTTAACAGAGTTGTGTATGAGTAGCTGGGAGGACCTGCCTAGCATGGGCCAGTACGATTACTGCAGAGTTCTTATTTAGGAAAACAATGCTTCTAGATGGGAGCAAGGGGCTACTAACCTCTTCTCCTGTACAAATTACTAAATTTAAAAAGAAAAACTTTCGTTTTTCTTTTTGGGCCACCCTGCCTTGGTGGGATACAGCTGGTTTGTTAAGAAAAAAAAAATGCTTCTAGATGTCAAGAAAGAACAAAAATGCACAATACCATAACTGGAACAATACACAAATAACCCGTACATAGGAGAGAAACTTACGACATTTCTGTCCCACTTTTGAGACCAAAACATCATCCTAAGTTTCTTTCCCCTATGTGCAGATTACTCGTCAGAGGGTCACGTTCGTTCTATCAGTCTGAATACAGTGGACCCCCGCTTTACGATCACCTCCCAATGCGACCAATTATGTAAGTGTATTTATGTAAGTGCGTTTGTACGTGTATGTTTGTGGGTCTGAAATGGACTAATCTAATTCACAATATTCCTTATGGGAACAAATTCGTTCAGTACTGGCACCTGAACATACTTCTGGAATGAAATAATATAAATTGGGAGTCCACTGTATTTATCAAACACAAACTCTCATAAATAATTTCTGCCAACTTGTCAAGGACATTTTCCCTAATATATTAATTTTTTCAAAACTTTACAGTGAGATCAATAAGCCAATTTCCCTCACAAATAGGACTTTGAAACTTTACAATGATTTACTTGTTCCCTGGACACACGATATACGAGATTCTACTGTACTGTATTTATATACAAATGAAGGTCAAACGTAAGGACAATATAGGACTGGTACCAAGAATCGTTGCGATATAAGCCTGGTGCCAACTGTTGCAACATAACCCTAGTGTCATTGTTGCAATGTAGGTCTGGTGCCCTCACTGCAATGTAAGCTTGGCGCAAATCATTTAACATAGGCCCATCACTAATTATTTTAACAGTGTTCTGGCAACACTCATTCCAATGTAGGCTTGGTGCCAATCATTGTTGCAACTTGATGCCAGCCAAGTACTGTTACAACTTGATGCCAGCCAAGTATTGTTACAACTTGGTGCCAAGCACTGTTACAACTTTGTGCCAAGTATTGCTACAACTTAGTACCAAATACTGTTAATTTTTTTTCAAAAGCTCAGAAAATCAGTATTCCAGACACGGCTTACCCCAGCATTCCCAAGAATTGATGCCCAAAACCATAAATTTGATAAATGGACACAGGTGCAACTAATGTGACATTTTATTGTATAAACATTTCACTCTCCAAGAGCTTTATTAAGTTGTTATGGTTTGACAAAGTTCGTGGAGAGCAAAACGCTGCCACAACAAAATGTTGCATTAGTTGCATCTGTGTCCATTTACCTAACCTTATTTTGGTAATTCTACCACTATTACTAATGAAATAATTCAGTCACCAGCCCAAAAGAGAGAAGTTTAGTTAAGGCAAAACATTTACAGAAAAAAACACGAGAGAGAAAAGGCATAAAACGAGGAAGAGTGAAATAAAGAGTTCGCTTGCAGGGAAGTAAATACAGAGAATGCTATATACAAGAGTTAAAGTGTACAGCGTGACTGCAAAGTAACAACAGTGTAATGGGTTGTCTACCATGCCGATCACATTCCCCAAACGGGTGTTATTTGCAAACAAAATTTTGCTTGTGTCTTCCTTTCTCTGTGGCTTAGGCCTGTTAGAAGGTGATGCTTCTGTGCCTTTGGGGGGATCTACAAATGGGTACCTCACACACTCCGACATGGACTTCAAAGTCTCTCCCGACTTTTCCGTTGCTTCAGAAATGCCAGTGTGATGCAAGCCCTTTTGAATATATATTCCTGTGGATGCTGCTGACTCATCAGGGGAAACAATTGAAGAATTGGCAGATGGAGAGGGGCTGAGTGAAGCACTGGTAGAATGGAGATGTGGGGTTGATGTGTGAAAGCTTGTCAAAGGCAAGACTGACATGACTGGTAATGGTAGCACAGTTGTGATGGTTGGTGGTGTAGTTGATGTGATGGTTGGTGGTGTAGTTGATGTGATGTTGTGGTGTGTTGATGTGTGGTTTGGGGGTGTATTGATGTGATGGTTGGTGGGTGTTGATGTGATGGTTGGTGGTGGTGTGTGTGATGGTGGTGTGTGTGTGTGGTTGGTGGGTGTTGATGTGATGGTTGGTGGTGGTGTTGATGTGATGGTTGGTGGTGGTGTTGATGTGATGGTTGGTGGTGGTGTTGATGTGATGGTTGGTGGTGGTGTTGATGTGATGGTGGGTGGAGGAGTCACAGCGATGGATGGTGGTGCAGTTGTGATGTCAGTTGTGATGTATAATGAAGATGTAATGTGGTTTGCAGTATTTGGTGATGATAATGATACAGGAAGTGTGGTATTCATACATCCAGCCACTGCACCCAATGCCAAGCAGCCTGACTCAGAAGCCGGGATATTACAGTGTGATGAGACAGTGGTTTCTGGCGAGTGTGCTGAAGCTGCAACAGCTGACAATAGTCTGGTGTGATTCCTGGACACTAACACATCAGAAGCTGACAGAGATGCACACATCTCTGGAAACGTTGCATTAGAGCCTACAAGGCTCTTCCCAGTAGCACCGAGCCCAATCTGTCTATGGTCAGATGTATATGTATGCTCGGGGACATCAACACCTGAGGATAGTATCTGGTGGGAAGGCTTGGAGTATACACAAGGCTTTGAGTGCAAGGTAACAGGCTGAGCAAAACAGGGGATAGAAGAAAGACTGGGAAAAGATGAAGTTGTTGACTGTGATACATTTGTGCAAGCTGGACTCATGGACTCTTTCTGAATGAAGCTGTGTGAACTAGTCATCACTGGGACTATGGCAGTCGAAACTTGAGGTGGAGGTGGAACACGATACAACACACTAACACAAGGCGAGGATAGAGTCGCCTGCACATGAGATGAAGAAACTGAGGGAGGGGGAACTACAAAGGATGATAAATCAGAAGGAAGGACATTTGTGAGAGAAAAGGCAGCTGAGGATGCCTTACTTTCTTCAAGTGGAGCCTGTAAAGATGACCTGCACGGAGGAACACTATACACTGATATACTGGATAGACGTACACTGCTTATGTAACTCAAGCTATTAGACGTTTCCTGCATAACACTTTCATTAAACTCTACTTGTGTAGGTGGTGCCAAAGTCAAATCAACATTTTTAGGAAGTAATGAACTGACCAAAGATGCACTAAACACTGAAGGCACATCAGGGACACATGGCATAGAGTCAAGATTAAGTGCTGAGAGAAAGTGAAGTGCCTTGCTGGGTATGTAGCTTGGTAACAGGGATTCTTTAAAGAGTGTATCACCACCAGGTACGTTATCTTGTGACTCCATGATGGTACTGGTGTTTGGCACAAGTTTCAGAGATGGGCCTTGGATGTTAGACTTTGAGTGCCGTAGGTTTTTGGGACTCTCTGACAAAAATCCTTCCTTTGTGGCATGACAGGCAGAAGAATACACTATAGAGTCTAATGCTTGGTATTTAGGAAAGCTTGCATGTCTGACAAATTCTCAGTATGGAGGAAAATGTCAGAGCTGATACAGCTATCGAGACAGCTACTACTGCACGTTATGAGTGCTTCAGTAGTTGGATCAAACTCCTTGGAGCTCCCTGGCCAATCACCTAAGACAAAAGGAACTGTGAAATGCAAGAAAGGCTCTCTTGTCACATCTAATGTGCTTTTGTGAGAGACAACTTCCCCAAAATGATTAGATGGTGTGGAAGATGAACCAAAGGAAGATGAGCTGGTAGTCACATCTTCAACTGGGCTGTAATGATTTGGGGTCACATTAGCTGGGAAAGGAATGAGAGGGGCAGCAGATGGCTCAGGAATACATACATATTCCCTGGGAAGGTTGGGGAGGGAAGATGAGAGGTCACCAAGTGATGAAGCTTCTTGGAGAAGAGAGGAGAGGAAAGATGCCATATCACAATGAGATGCAGCTTCTTGGACACCAACGGGAAGAGGAGATGAGAAGTCACCAAGCGATGCAGCATATTGGGAAACAACAGGAAGAGGTGATGAGGGGAAAGATGCCACATCACTATGAGATGAAGCTTCTTGGAAAACAACAGGAAAAGGAGATGAGGGGGAATATGAGAGGTCACCAAGTGATGCAGATGCTTGGAGAACAGGAAGAGATGAGAGGGAAGATGCCACATCACAATGAGATGCAGCTTCTTGGAGAACAACAGCAGAGAAGAGATGACTGGCAGCAGTGTTCTGGGCTGGGCTGCTACAACCTATAACTCCCTGATCGCAGCCACAAGGAGGGACAACCCCGACAGCACAGGACGGGACACGTACAGTGGTGGTCTCGACTGTGCGGGTTCGGGAGGAGATGGACTGCGAGCTGACCACCACAGCACTGTCGTCGATGTTCAAGTCGCCCAATACGGATACCTGACAAAAAGCCAAAATCCAATACATTTGAAAGATTGATATAGCATTATATCAGTAGCACTTCTGTTAAATATATTAAAATTAATGAGCCAAAACTCAAATGATTATTTCTCTCCTCTTAGGAGAGGGAGAGGATGAAGTAATTCAAGCCACTTGTCATTTAGTACTAACATGTAAGATTGAATATGGTTTATGGATACTAAAATAACTGATTCCAACAAGTAGAACACACACAAAATGGAATCCCTTAAGACATTTTTAAGAGACGAACGTCCCAGGACAAGCATTTCCAATAAAAATGACGCAAGTAATTGCATTTTGTGTCCTTTTTCCACTACATGGTCGTTCATGTATTGTGTATCCAACTATCTGTAGTTACAGAAGAACAACTATGCTTGTGGTGTCCAGTCATAAGGGCTTGTAGTTACAGGAGAAGAACTATATTTGTGGTGTCTGGTCTTTAGTGGCAAAACTACGGAGCACAACTTTACGGGGAGGGTCCACTTTTTACTATTTACAGTTATATGTCGGAACTATATTTGTGGTGTTTAGTATCCACAATTTATAGTTACCAAAGCAAAACTATGTATATGTATGGGAGTACATTACTTTTAGATGTATGGGAGGACACTAGCTTTTAGTGATGGGAGGACACTACTTTTAGATGTATGGGAGGACACTGCTTTTAGATGTATGGGAGGACACTACTTTTAGATGTATGGGAGGACACTACTTTTAGATGTATGGGAGGACACTTAATTTTAATGGTAGGGAGGACATTCATTTTTAGATTGTATGGAGGACACTACTTTTGTATGGAGGCTATTTAGATGTATGGAGGACACTACTTTTAGTGTATGGGAGGACACTACTATTAATGATATATGTGAGAGGACACTACTTTTAGATGTATGTGGAAGATACTGCTCTTAGAAAAAAAGGGTGGAGTAAATTTTATCTTTTTTTTTGTCAGGCCATTTACTATTGTTGCATGCATAGGGGCATGTCAAAACATGTATTGTATGTTTATGTTTATTAGGGACTGGTATATACATGAATGCATATATGGATGTACAAGCATACATGGTATGACAAGTGGTAAACATGCAAATGTAAGAAATACAATAGTCATTCAGTACTTTATAATAAAACACAGTAACAATGAAGGCAACATTAATATGAAATGTAAATACAACACTGAAAGACGTGACCAATTTATGATTAATATTATATCATGCAGTAACTCTTTGAGTCATAAGGCCTGGGGCAAGTACAGGTACTCAACTGACCAATAGAGGTATAACTAACGGTGATTTTTAAGAATATTTATACTGTAAGCTCGGCCTTAGCCTAGATTGTACTGTAGTTTATCCATAATTACAGGCCCACTTTTCAGCTTTACTAACATTGCGGTTTTCAATTATAACCATTCTTCATTTAATAGGACTTTTTACAATAAATTCACCACTCACTATAAGCTAAGGATAAAAATATTTTAAAGTAATGTGTATACTGTATATGCATTTTTTAGGCCTAGCTCTATTGCTCACTTAATATATGATAGTGTAATGTTACCAGGAACTTTATGTGCATCTGTAAGTGAAAAAAAAAAAGGGGGAGAATGCGTGTGCGTTATGTTTCACTTTACAGCAGTAGCCTGGAACTTAACCTGCTGTGTAAGTGGGGGCCTCCACTACCCTGGATAAAGCAACCTTTCCTGGAATTGAAGAGTTTTATAAGAGTCAAGGTGTATAAAACTCCAGCATCTGCATAATTAAACTGCAGGACAGACTGCCAATTTCCTAACCCTGGGATCCTCCTGTTGCAAATAATACTGTAATCTCATGCACAATGCACATGCACAAGCCTCTAAGGGTGTCCGAGTCAGCCAACACCTCAAATGCACGCAGGGTATACATTAAATAACAATAGCTGTGCCCCGTTAGAGGTGGCAAGACAGCATTCACAGGCAGATATTTAATGCTGAGGCCCGGCAGACCACGCAGGGGATTAGGGTCTCCGTCACCTCCACCACCACCAACCTTTCGCGATTCTGTTTCCACTAGAGGGGGAGCCTCGACGCTCATAGTTCTGTAAATTCCACTGCCATCAAACACTTGAGCTTCAGTTGGCACAATACCATCCTGTGGAGAGAAAAATGCCTCTAGATTCTTCAAATAAAAAACTTAGCATTTTGTATGAAATAATAATAAACTGAGTAAGCGTATGATTTATACATGAGAATAATAAGGAAAACAAGTGTGCTGCATTTCTGGTACATGATGGAATGAGATCCCCCGAGAGGGTACGAGTGTGCTGCATATTCTGGTACATGATGGAATGAGATCCCCCGAGAGGGTACGAGTGTGCTGCATATTCTGGTACATGATGGAATGAGATCCCCCGAGAGGGTACGAGTGTGCTGCATATTCTGGTACATGACGGAATGAGATCCCCCGAGAGGGTACGAGTGTGCTGCATATTCTGGTACATGATGGAACGAGATCCCCCGAGAGGGTACGAGTGTGCTGCATATTCTGGTACATGACGGAATGAGATCCCCCGAGAGGGTACGAGTGTGCTGCATATTCTGGTACATGATGGAATGAGATCCCCCGAGAGGGTATGAGTGTGCTGCATATTTCCAGACTATAGAAAGTGTTTGACAATGCTAAGGAAAAATTATCAGTATAGCTTAAGGGATACTTGGATAATAGAAATAAAAGGTGGTGTGTAACTACTAAAGCACCCCAAAGACCAGCACAGGGAACTATTTTGTTCCTAGTGTATAAAACAATTTAATAACAGAAGTAGGACTGGAAGAGCCTTATTTGATGATGCCAAGATTATAAAAGGACAGAAACGATTAAGTGCCTACTTGAGCTCAACCTCGGTGAAGGCAGGGTAAGTACGCTGGTAGACAAAGATTACAAAGGGGAATAACCACATCCCCAGACCTGTTCCCTGAAGCACGTGATAACAGCAGCAGTGAATGCTAAGCTAGTAACTATAGTGTACTCAAGCCTGAAAAAGACTTGTTACCTCATGTGTAAGGAGAGTTTTTAAACCCTAAACTGTCCAGACGTAGATCTACGTTCGCTCACATAGTGCTCTGAACGTAGATCTACGTTTTTTACATGCTTTCAAATGGGGAAAATCAACGCCGGAGCACTACATGCGTAAACACAGATCTATGTTTGGACAGTTTAAGGGTTAAATATGCAGCACCAGTGTGGAATTCTCACTTAGTAAAAATACAAAAGAAAAATGCAAGAAGATACAAAGGGCATCCAGACTGGTGCCCGAGATGAGGGGAATGAGCTATGGGTAGAGACCCAAAACGCTACCGTTTCTGCAAGACCAGTAATTGCTTCGATCACAGCAGACAAGATATTAAAGAGCACACAAAATAATGATAGGCTTATCAGAGAAAGCTCGGGAACAAGAGACCATGAATGGAAATAACACAAGCAAACAATTCATAGATGAGTGGAGATGACGATCACTGTGGACTGAATATCTACCAAGACTGAGGGATTCAAAACCTCTTTTTAAACTGTCTCCAGTACATTAGTCACCTCTGTATTCAACTACTGAAGTCTGCAGTACAGCAAAATATTTCGGAAATGAAGACACCCAAGAATTGCACGTACCTTATTCATCTACTTGCTGGTAACTTTAATTTTTTTCAACAGACCTTCTACATTGAGTAATTTATGCAGAGGAGGTTACTAGCCCTTTGCTCCCAGCATTTTAGTAATTTATACAAGAGAAGAGGTTACTAGCTCCTTGCTCCAGGATTTTAGTAATTTATACTGGAGAAGGGGTTACTAGCCCCTTGCTCCTGGCATTTTTGTAGTCCTTTAATACACGTATGGCTCACGGAGGAAGGATTCTCTTACATTCCACCATGGAGTTGTTGGCACTGTTTATCATTAATATACCTTTGATGAGTTTGGAGTTTTTCTACTCCTGGAGCCCAGCTATGGGCCAGTCAATTCTAAATGCATTTTATATGTAATATTTACTAATTTAAACGATACAAATTTATACGAGCTTCGTAACATATCTGCACAAGTGTTACATGAATGGATTAACAGTGTTTATTTAATTGTAGATATGTTTATAGCTGTGTTTAGCATTTCTGGAAGTAATACAAATTATATATACAATAATGTTCAGGTACATCCACTTAACTTGAAAATAACTTTAGAAAAAATAAACATCACTCATTTACAGGTGTTGCATTTACAGGTGTTGCACTGACAAATATCTGCCACTCTCAGTGCATTCGCCACTCTCAGTGCATTCGCCACTCTCAGTGCATTCGCCACTCTCAGTGCATTCGCCACTCTCAGTGCATTCGCCACTCTCAGTGCATTCGCCACTCTCAGTGCATTCGCCACTCTCAGTGCATTCGCCACTCTCAGTGCATTCGCCACAAGTGCTGGAGGCTTGAACCTCCATCTCATCACAATCCAGTCTCTTATCAATCAGGCTGGTGGTGGTATCGTCCATCAAGTTCTCAGGCAAGTCAACAACACAATTATCTTCGACTATACAACATGAAGAGTGAGTCTGCAGAACTTGCCATGTTCTAGACTTGATGAATAAGGCAAGTGCAACTACTGTACGCTTCTTATCGACCGGTCGGTATTTTATACCATTGTCAACATGCTCTGTGAACCGAGTTGTACAGTTACAAGATGTTGGTCCCAGCACACCAATGGAGACATACTCTACCAAAATAGTCTCAATGACAAACTTAAAATGGTTGTAAATGATATGGTGATACCCACACACTGTGGAAAAGGACGCTTGTATCCCAATTCAGGACATCTGTTTAGGAAAATATTTCACCCCAAGCAGCAGCAACTTCATCATTAGAACCAAGAAACCAATCATGGTAAAACATTCCCCGTAATTAATAACATCATCAACTACACACAAGTGTCCTTTTCCTAGATTTGCTTGGCTATAACTTGTATAAATTTAAACTCACTGACAATGAATATTAAAACAGTTGCACTAGATACATACAATATTACAGTACAAGTACACAATAATACAGGTAGGAAGCATACTGACCTTGTTTACCATATCGTAATCAGAATCCAAGGGATCGACCGATGTGCCCGAGTCATCACTCCCACTGGAGATTGTGCGAGGGCGGGAATGGGCGACGTACCCAGCCTTGGGATAGTACGAGGGAGTGTGGCCTCCCTGACCCTTAGGGTACAGGAGTGAGAGAGAAGGGATGGACAGGGTAGGGTTAATGCAGTGTTGCCATGCAGGTAGTACTGGGTTATGGCACAATGACTAGCAATATGACTGCCAAAAGCTGTTAACAGAGACATGACGTAGACCTTGAGGAAGCATTGTAAAAACTCTTCAGAGCTTCAAGTAGCAAAAAAACTATAAGCTAATATTCTTTATGCTATTGTTCACTGTTTAACGGGATATCAATACGCGACAGGAGAGCCAAAAATGCCCAACTCTTCTCACTACAACAATCACTCGGTGCCCAAGACAAGTGGCGAGCAAGCTTTGTGATACATAGAGCAACACAGTCACAAAAGCTTACTTTGCACCTCAGTCTTTTCCTCATTAATGTTGTTGTAAACCTCTGCATCATTTGACCAGGAGAGAACATGCAGCTGAACCAGTAAGTTTCAAGGTTTTTCTCAAAGGTATAACAATGCGAGCTAAAGGAATTCTTTTAGTATTTCAAATTTGTCATGCCAGAGGTTGTTCACCACAGGAAATAGTTAAAAAAAAAAAAAAAAAACTCCCAAATAACACCGAGTTAGAGTCTAGGATAGTCACAAACTATACTGTGATTTTTTTTTATCTCTCACAAACCATTACTGTGATTTTTTATCCTCTCTCCCTGTAAGACGGGTCAGCAACCTACGGCTTGCAGGCCAGATCCAGCCAACGGGGCCATAGCTCAAATGCTAAATATACGTCGAAGTTTAGTATGTATTACTATTACCTCTATTTATTAAGTATGGCGATAAGTGTGGTAAGCCATCCGCTCGTAGACATGGGCTCTGGCCCCTAGGCAGAACAAGGTTGCCGGCCCCTGCTCTAAGAAACTGTCCCCAAACACTATCTGCTGATCGCCGCTGCTAGTTATTTTTAGTACAGTGGAACCTTGGAATTTAAACTTAATTCGTTCCAGAAGGCTGCTTGAGTGCTGATCCATTTGAGTATCAAACAAATTCTTCCCAACCAATTTTGTTGGTTGGCTGTTATCACTAATCTTCGTAGGCCCCATGGTGACTTATACAATATAAAAAAAGAAAAAATGTGAAGAAACACGAGATAGTTTACAGAGAGGTTCTGGCAGGTAATGTTTGTTTGGTCGAGTGCCGAGCTTTGTTCGATTAGGGAGCTGTTCGTGTACTGAGGTTCCACTGTATAGTAGTAAAACAATGTTCGTGGTACTTTGGATTAAGTGGAAAGATTTTGTACACTTCCTTCAAGGAAGGGACCAACTTGTCTTCCATATTACCACAATTTACCATTACATTTAAGCATCTTGTTAGCACTGACTTTCAACTTCCAACAAAAATCTGCAATAACTGGAATCATTTATGCCCCAATTACTTAAAACATAAAGTATATTAGCAATTCTAGGATAAATTATTTATAATTTAAACATGCTTTACTGTAAAATAAAGATATTTTAGACACTTTATGGTAAGCCAACACTGACTAAAGGGAATTTGCACTGTGCTCTGCCATTCAGTTTTAATCTAAATATTTCAAATTTACATGCAAAACAAAATTTGACAGACAATAGAGGATCTTGAAGGCCATTCAGATTATATTTTCGCATGTGCGAGCAAATGAACAAACTGGACACGGAACTGCTCTTTTGTTGAGAGCTCACCTGCGCCGCAGCCAAGTTGTCTACACGCTCTGGTGCAATGGAGCGTGTCTGCTTTTTCACCTCCTGCGTGACGACTGTCTGCTCCTGGGTCGTGCCAGTCGTCTTGGTGGTGGCTGTGAAGGTCTTCTCTTCCATCTGAAAGCAATGTCACTGGTGAGATGACCCGTCAAGTCGACACGGCTCGAGCTGTCATATTCTTTCACCAGAAAGCAATTCTTGTGTTAATCTTTGTTGTATCTGTTGATTTCTCTCCTTGCTTTTGTGGAGGACTGACACCAGTGAGAGAGCTCAATATAACTGATGTATGGTACTAAGAGTATGAAGGTTGGCTAAAACTGGCTAGTGTTTGTGTTCGATCACAGCCCTTAAAACCAAATGTGAAGACAAAAATACAAAAATCCTCCCATTTGTGGCATGACGAGCAGAAGAATGAAGTAGAGTCTAATGCTTGGGTGTTCATGAAAGTTTGCATGTCAAGTCACAATTAGGTGTGATTTCGCACACGTAGAGGAGCTTTGTAAGAGCTGACAGTGTCCAGAGGAGCTTTGCAAGAGCTGACAGTGTCCAGAAGAGCTTTACAAGACAACTGATCAACTCTTCAAACATGACTTGACCTACGGCAAGTTAGTCCAAAAATTAGCAAACCAGTGCTTATGCTGTCTCATGCACACTCGTACCTGCTGCGTTCGCGCCTTCGTGCTCTTATCCTCGAGGCTCTTAGCAGTGATGGTGGTGACGGTGGTGGCCGTCACGTGAGGCTTCTCTCTGCCGTCAGCTTCGCCATGCTCAGCCTGTAACCCACCAATGCACAACATATCAAGGTCTGGCACATGCAATGCAGTCTACGTGCTCAAAAAATGCAAAAAAACTGCTAATGCAGTGCAGAAGTGAATAAATTGTGCACAAAATAGTGAATGAAAAAATTCCAGTGACACCAAATTACTCATGAAAAATTAAAAACATTTTAGGTGGCTCAATTACTCAACTTCAGAAAATTAGCAAAAAGTTTTATAAATAATAGGTGAAAAAAAATTCATACCAGAAATATAGTGGACATAAACAAACAAAACAGAGCACTGCAAATAATGCAATGGTAAGACTAAACATTTTATTCTGCAATGCCAGCAATATATATTTTTTTTTTCTCAACAAGTCGGCCGTCTCCCACCGAGGCAGGGTGACCCACCGAGGCAGGGTGACCCAAAAAAGAAAGAAAATCCCCAAAAAGAAAATACTTTCATCATCATTCAACACTTTCACCACACTCACACATTATCACTGTTTTTGCAGAGGTGCTCAGAATACAACAGTTTAGAAGCATACACATATAAAGATACACAACATATCCCTCCAAACTGCCAATATCCCAAACCCCTCCTTTAAAGTGCAGGCATTGTACTTCCCATATATATTGTATATATATATATTGTATTAAAATGTTGTGTATCTTTATACGTATATGCTTCTAAACTGGTGTATTCTGAGCACCTCTGCAAAAACAGTGATAATGTGTGAGTGTGGTGAAAGTATTGACTGATGATGAAAGTATTTTCTTTTCGGGGATTTTCTTTCTTTTTTGGGTCACCCTGCCTCGGTGGGTCACCCTGCCTCGGTGGGTCACCCTGCCTCGGTGGGTCATCACCCTGCCTCGGTGGGAGACGGCCGACTTGTTGAGGAAAAAAAAAAATTAAAATGTTGGAAAAAAAATTGTATTTGGAATAAGTACGTATTACATTGTTGCAATACAGGCAGCTTCCAATAGTTACATATGACCAAAGTCATCCACACGTATGTATCTAAACAGGGAACCTGGGCACCAGTTAAATTTTAACACCAGCTGATAGGCAGTGAAGATGTGAATGGAAAATACCCATCCTGTGTATTACTGGTTTCTAGAAAATCGGCTCATTTTTAAGTTGAAAAAACTATAATACAGTGGTACCTCGGGATACAAAATTAATTCATTCCATAAGGCTGTTTGAGTGCCGATACCAAATGAATTTGTTCACATAAGGATTAATGTAAATTAGATTAATCCATTTCAGACCCCCAAAAATACACTTATGAAAGCACTTACATAAGTATACTTACATAACTGTTCGAGTTTTGAGGTGTTCGTATCCCGAGGTAACACTGTACAACTCATTTGCAAATTGAAAAAAAGATTTTAGCCTTTTTGTAAACTGAAACAAAGGATTATAGTTTTTTTTGTAAGTTAAAACAAAGATTATAGTTTTTTTGTAAATTGAAACTAAAGAAATGCAATGTATTTGTAAGTTAAACTTCTAAACTTTGTTTTAACTTTTCTAACCTGCAAGTTGAAATTCCAGGAACACACCTGGTTAGTAAGTTCGGAGACTTCTTGCATTTGTCATACCACTACCTGCTTAAGTGCCATTTAGCAAGTGAGTGCCAACATGCCGGCCAGAGTGCATGAGATCTGTACTCTACAAGCCAAGGACAACCCACCACTCACGGGAGTACAGGCCACAGAAGAGATGGCAACTTAGGTGAACAAGATAACAAAGAACTGCACGATTCCTACCTTCTGGCTCTGAGTGCTAAGTTCGACCTGTCCCGTCGAGAGGTCTTCCACCCTCTGGACAGTGTCCTCGGAAATGCCTTCGGCATCTTGGACGAAGGTCTTCTTGGTTGTAGTCTTAATGATCTTTGGAATGGTGGAGCCCTGAGAGCTGTCATCTTGCACTGCTGCTGTCAGTGAGGGGCTGAGAGCCGGGTTGATCATTATGTCAGAGGAGGAGTGGTCTGCAGTGAACGAGGGCTCGCTGGTGGCCCCTGGATTGACAATTAGCGACATGTCAGAACGGTCAGCAGCGTAAGAGCTCTCTGTGGCCGACATGGTCTGGTCGATGTCCTTGGGCTCGGTTCCTTCACGGTTTTCAATGACTACACTCTCGTCAGAGGTGTCAGAGCTAGAGCTGGAACTTGAGCTGCTGCTGCTACTGGTTGAGTCCTTGCGATCTCGAGCACCAAAAATTCCAAACCTTCCCTTTTTCTTCCCTTTCTCCTTCTGTTTGTCTTTCTTGGCCTTTTCTTTAGCTTTCTTGTCTTTATCTTTCTTCTTATCACTCTCTTTACTTTCCTTATCTTTATCTTTTTTCGTTTCTTTACCTTTCTTGTTTTTACCCTTTTTGTCTTTCTCTTCCTTTTTCTTATCTTTTTTAGCTTTGTCTTTCTTATCCTGCTTTCCCTTCTTCCCAGCCCCAAACCCTGCCAGGAGACCCGTTGAGTCAGCCGACGTGTCCAAGACACCGTCATCGACTGAGGTCTCTGGCAAGGTGGTGTCTGGAGAGGACAGTCGACTCCCAGCTTCGGCCGCGGGTGATGAGAGTAACCCCTTGCTGTGCTTCGCTTCCACTGCCAGTTCCCCGTGCTTGCCTCTAGTACCTTCCGCTTCCAGCGCCGAGTCTTTGGGTTTACCTCTGGCGCCATCCTGCAGGCTTGTCTTCCTTTTCTCAACTGTTTCCACCACCTTTGAGTCCTCTCCTGGAGCATAGTTGAAGGCCTGAGCCCGCACTCTCTTTTTCTCGCTTCCCCGTGGCAGAGCAGTGCCATCTTCGGCATAGTCTCCAGTTCCATCGTACTTGAACCCATGTCCCGTGGGACTGTAAGGCCGCCGAGGCTCGTTCTCAAGTTCTTCGTAAGAATACTGTCGTGTGAAAGGTGGCGATCCTGGCTCGGCACCATTGACACTAGGGTCCTGGAAGACGGTGCGATGGGTCTTGACAAGGGGGTCCGCACCTTCCACGCTCTCCGTGGCCTCCGTGCCGGGCCTCCGTCCTTCCAGCGTCTTGTACCCAGGGGGAGGGGTGGAGGATGGAGGAGCACCACTCTACACACAAAAACAAAAATTCATGCAATGCACTATTGAACAAAATCAACACTAGCACAAAATACATCTGCTGAAGACAGCATTCTATCACATCTCTTGAAACACCAGCACGAGGTTTACATCTTAAAACTAGCACTGGGAGAGGGGGCACAAAGACATGCTACGTGCTTCAGCTATCATACTCACAGAGTAGGGAGTGGAAATAAAGTGTGGTTCCTAACCAAACCCTACTTTTCCAACACTTTTTTTGTTTAGAATGTAAATTTGTTCTTCTTTTTAATGTTCCTAACCAAACCCTACTTTTCCAACACTTTTTTTGTTTAGAATGTAAATTTGTTCTTCTTTTTAATGTTCCTAACCAAACCCTACTTTTCCAACACTTTTTTTGTTTAGAATGTAAATTTGTTCTTTTTAATGTTCCTAACCAAACCCTACTCTTCCTCTTCACCTTTTTTAATGCCTTTTCTTTACAATAATTTTTTTTTATCAAAGTTTTTGCATTTAAGGTTTGATGCGAGGGCTTGTAAATATCTCGAAGAAACAGACACACAAGCATATTGTAATTAACCATATTACTATTGTTGTTATTACCATCATCATCGTGACCAGTTTTCACTATCCCAGGACCTGGGCGACGAGAGCTGCGACTCTCGCCACTTCCTTTACAATCCTGAAAAACCTACGTATACTTCTAGATACACAAGCAAAGACAACCTCTAAGTACTCTTTCTAGTATACAGTAGATTTACTCAGGCTGATCTGCTACAAGTATTGGGTATACTATGGGCCTGTCAAAAATATTTTTTATGTATAGTATAATAAACAATAAGACTGAGAAATTATAACTGAGCAGGTGGGAAACATTAGGAATATCCTGAAAAAATATCTACTGTAGTACTGAGAAAAAATAATTTAGAAAGTGGGAAAGAATATCTTCACAGTGGCCCATGTTAGCCTAATATTAATACCTATTTCAAATCTACCATTCTTTACCTGTGTACACTTAAGTGGTCTTTCAGTATTAGCTAAGTGTTCCCAAAATGCCCCGGCATCATAGCGGCTTTCTTTGTACCAATCAAATTATGAAATGTAAACACACATTGTAACCTTGGCAAAGAATTAATCTGATGATGTTGTTGTTGTTTAAATACAGTGGACCCCCGGTTAACGATATTTTTTCACTCCAGAAGTATGTTCAGGTGCCAGTACTGACCGAATTTGTTCCCATAAGGAATATTGTGAAGTAGATTAGTCTATTTCAGACCCCCAAACATACACGTACAAACGCACTTACATAAATACACTTACATAATTGGTCGCATTCAGAGGTGATCGTTATGCGGGGGTCCACTGTATACCTAATTATATATGAAGCTGGCCTAGAGTGGTATATGCACTAGTGTGGAGTTTACCACTCACTTGCCATGGGTTCAAACCCCATCTGTTCCGTTGTGAGAACCACACTCAGTGTCCTTTGTTGAGCGAGTTGAGATAGCACCAGCACCTCCCTCCCCACAACCACTAACCATGCAATGCCAGTGGCATGCTGCACTAACACAACTAACCAAGAATGTATATTAATAAACAAAAGATAAAAGACATGCTTACTAAAGGTAAACTAAAAAAACATTTAAACATTTTTAAGTATAAATATTAAAAGCCCAAGTTAATACTCTCTTATGGATGTGAAATGTTTGAGCTCTGTTAAAAACTACAGCTGTATATTTAATGTATTCACATGTAATACAATGATCATACTATTTTGTGCCAGAATCTTACACTCTGTTAATTATATTAAAATAAATTCAATCGTTCTCAATCTCTATATAATCTTCTCTCTCTCTCTCTCTCTCTCTCTCTCTCTCTCTCTCTCTCTCACATACACACCCATCACATACCCCCACACCCATACACACCACATATCTTCCCCCCCCACCCAGACACCACATATCCTCCCCACACCCATGCACACCACATATTGTCCCCACACACACATCACATACCCTCACACAAATGTACACCACAACACACCACATGTCCACCACACACACACACACAATCACATTCTTACTCATATGCAACTGGTTTCTCACTTGTCAAGTGTAAAATTTACATTTCCAGTTATTTGTGGCGTTCAGTGTTTACTATGAGCTTAAAGAAGAGCTGCTGACTTGAACATTACCTCACATCATTTTCATAACTTACCAAAATTAGTAAAATAAACAACTTACCAGAGGGAGGGCTTGAGCCTATAGCAAACCAGTCCTGAAACTATCAGGCCAGTGTGTTATCAACTGTAACAGTGTACAACACTGCTAGTTTTACCTCTTGACTTGACACAGGTACACAAATAACCAGCTTACAACGACCTTTCGGTCTTACTTGAACCAACATGACTTTGTAAATGGTCCAAATTGGACCGAATAATCCTTGTAAGTTCCTCTCTCCTGTGTGGGGATTATTTGTGTATTGTTCCAGCCATGGTATTGTGCCTTGTTGGCTTTTCTTGACAAAGGTACCAGCCCTCTCTACAGCAAGTTGTTTACAACCGTGTCCTTACAATTTCACGACTCTTGGTGAATTAAGATTAAGGACGGGCAAGACAGCTACCTCTTCAAACAAGTCAAGAAGCAATATTAAATACTGTACTCTATATCTGACATAGGGAATGACTTGTTATAATAAGAGAAACTATTAACTTGGTTCTTATATGGTAAAAGACAATATAAATACAATTTTGGGATCCTACCATACATGACACTGATGTTGATAAATTAGGCACATACAACACCTGAATATCTTTACTGCCGTAACAGTTTGCCGCAGTGTTGTGAAACTTTTTCACAACAGAGATGCCCAAGTGTTGAATACATGTCTAATTTATCAACTTCTCAGTTTTACGAACTACAGCCTCTCCTCATTTAACAGAGTTCCGTTCCTAAGACCACGTCGTTCAACAACTTCGTCAGTAAGTGAGGAGCATAAAATAATAGCAGCTTGTGTCAGGCATCTCTGATATTGCTTTAATGTCACTTTTGCACCATTTATAACATTTCTGGTATATTTTTAAATGTTTGTACAGTAGTGTACTGTACACTGAAATAAACAGAATAGAAGAAATCAGCTCTAATACACGTTACTTAGGTATGAATACTGGTAAAGAGCCCGTCGTCAGTCTGAGGCGTCGGTAAATGAGTACGTCACTAAGTGAGGAGAGGCTGTATTTATCTACACACTGATGCTAAAGGAAAACAAAAATATCATTGCTTTAACGTACACAATAAATCAGCTTTCTATAGACACTGACAAAATGTATGGAGGGTAACTGCGCTCTACGACTGAGGGCTAGAGTAGACTAAGTCCTCACCCCAACAAGCCTCGAGCGTGTAAACCTTGCTGCTACTTAACTACTTAGTGGACGCAGTACAGTAGTTACTTCAAACAGGCAAGTATCACTACCTGTTGTGCCAGGAGCAGCAGCAAGAATGACAACAGCACTCACCTGAAGAGGTGGCATTATCACCTGTCATGCATGCATGAACTTGAGGCTTCAACAATTCTCACCTTTGCGGCGGCTGCAGCGGCGGCGGCAGCGGCAGCGGCTTCCTCCTCTGCCAGGGCCAGTTTTTCAGCACGTTTTTTGGTGGCCTTCATGAGGTCAGCCATCGGGAGGACCGCAACACCACCTATCGGTCTCTGCAGACACATCAACATCACTTTTGCATGATTGGGGAAAACAAAATCAGCAGCACTAACGACTGCATTAGCTATGTGCTACAAAACAAACATCCAATACAAAAAAACTGAAAAGCATTAATAAAAAATTGATCTACACAACAGTCACTACAAGTGATAACAGAAAGAACAAGGAGTTAAAATACTTACAAAACTTTCGAAAGATCGATGCACACAAAAAACAAATGCACATATATGATAGCCTCCAGAGTTGATAATAGGAAGAATGAAGAGCAAATACTTACAAAACAACTTTTTAGATTATTTACAAAAAACTTATGAGCAATACTGATGAAAGCAAAAGCCTTTCTGAATGCAAGAAGACTTACAGTCATGCATGGAAGGTTAGCAATCTGATGCTTCACAGAGTGCAATAGTTAGTTCTGCCACTGGCACATTACTTTGGTTTTTATTTAGACTGTAGTTTGATCTAGGAAATTACCACTTTAACCTTAGATTTTCAGTGGGTTAGGTAGGATGGATTATAAATACTGTCAGTAGTGTTACTGTGTACTCGTGTATTATACTTCGAGAATTCCAGTTGCTTTATAGATAGGCTCCCTTGCTAGCCGTGATGTCACGAGTCCATGAGTCTCGTGAGCCATCATATGTGATGGCTCATGAGACCCATCACATGATGGGTCTCATGACATCATGGCTAGCAAGGGAGCCTATCTATAAAGGAGCTGGGATTATCTAAGTATACTACACAAGTGCATGGTAACACTACTGACTTTAGGCACTTGACTGAATTGCATCACAGCTCTACACACTGCCATGTACTTTTTCTAACTCCTTGAAAGACAACTTATATACAGGGAAGACACATGGGTGCAGTCACATATCAATATCACCCAGGGCTGATGCTCGAGTCAGTGGCTGTGAGAGCCAAAACACACTAGATGGGTTAGTCGGTGGTATTGATACGATGGGTAATCAAGATGTGGTTAGTTCCATTACAGATTTCGGCAGCAGAAACCACCTTAGGATAATTGATCCAGAGGCATTAATATTAGTGACCATCTTTGATTAACTGATCCAGAGGAATTAATATTAGTGACCATATTTGATTAATTGATCCAGATGAATTAATATTAGTGACCATCTTTGATTAATTGATCCAGAGGAATTAACATGGCAGTGACCACATCAAGTTATCTTTACCAGAGAACATAATGTGACAATAACCACTCCTGACAAATTAAGACTGACCAAACAATGACCACACAGGTACAGTTCCATCAGGGACCTTGGACACACCACAGCAAACAGCAACCACACAGGTTCCATCAGGGACCTTGACAATGTTACTGTGACCAAACAGCAACCGCACAAGTTCCATCAGGGACCTTGACAATGTTACTGTGACCAAACAGCAACCACACAAGTTCCATCAGGGACCTTGACAATGTTACTGTGACCAAACAGCAACCACACAAGTTCCATCAGGGACCTTGACAATGTTACTGTGACCAAACAGCAACCACACAAGTTCCATCAGGGACCTTGACAATGTTACTGTGACCAAACAGCAACCACACAGCTCCATCAGGGACCTTGACAATGTTACTGTGACCAAACAGCAACCACACAAGCTCATCAGGGACCTTGACAATGTTACTGTGACCAAACAGCAACCACACAAGCTCCATCAGGGACCTTGACAATGTTACTGTGACCAAACAGCAACCACACAAGTTCCATCAGGGACCTTGACAATGTTACTGTGACCAAACAGCAACACACAAGTTCCATCAGGGACCTGACAATGTTACTGTGACCAAACAGCAACCACACAAGCTCCATCAGGGACCTTGACAATGTTACTGTGACCAAACAGCAACCACACAAGCTCCATCAGGGACCTTGACAATGTTACTGTGACCAAACAGCAACCACACAAGCTCCATCAGGGACCTTGACAATGTTACTGTGACCAAACAGCAACCACACAAGCTCCATCAGGGACCTTGACAATGTTACTGTGACCAAACAGCAACCACACAAGTTCCATCAGGGACCTTGACAATGTTACTGTGACCAAACAGCAACCACACAAGTTCCATCAGGGACCTTGACAATGTTACTGTGACCAAACAGCAACCACACAAGTTCCATCAGGGACCTTGACAATGTTACTGTGACCAAACAGCAACCACACAAGCTCCATCAGGGACCTTGACAATGTTACTGTGACCAAACAGCAACCACACAAGCTCCATCAGGGACCTTGACAATGACACCAACAAAACTACTGCTCTTAATAGAAAAATAAATGTTCCTTCAAGAAGGCAGTGTGAAGACACAAATACCAAGATACATGACTTACCGCTCAATTTAAAAATATTTTAATAGATAACTAAAACACCCAGATTTATAAAGAAAAATCATGACAGTAATCTCTCATGAAGCTATTCCATCAAGTGCATTTTTTCGCAAAGGGAGCTGAAAAATGCATTAAAAACTGAACAGAATGCACTATATTCTTTTTCACTTGCTATTTAATATTACCTGAAGAGGGTTTCAGGGGGTCAACACCCCCGTGGCTCGGTCTGAGACCAGGCCTCGTGGTGGATCAGGGTCTCCTCAACCAGGCTGTTACTTTTTCAACTGCATATACAAAAATGGAGCAAGGGGCTAGTAACCCCTTTCCCTGTATCAATTAATAAATTTAAAAAGAAAAAAATCTTACTATATTAAGAAGGTTCAAGAAAGTTTAATTGTCATTGCTTTTTAAGATGAAAACCTCGAGTACAACCTTTTAACCACCAATTCTTGTAACAACAGACATTTAAAGATGGTTCAGTACAAAGGTAGTTTACTACCAATTCTTCTAACATACATTTAAAGATGGTTCAGTACAAAGGTAATTTAAGACCAAAGTTCTCATTTGGACAACCTCTCTATTTACCAATAACCTTTTCCAAGGTCAAAGAAATGGGGAGTCAAATACGGACAAGAAAATAAACAATGCCAAAGTAACAGCAGGATACTCATTGCGGAGATTAATTTTGCAAGTATAAAATTAATTTTATGGAGTATCTTTGATATATGAAGGCTCCCCAAGATTACAAATTATCTATCCAACTTTCAGTGATCTATTTATAATATAATGGTAATTAACTCTCAGGAACAAGAATAAGGAAATACAAAAATTCTCATCCTTATCATTATTAGTATATGACAAACTAATTTTCACTACTTTATAATATACACATGTATGTGTATTGGGGTTTTGTGTATTTTATATATATATATAATATATATATATATATATATATATATATATATATATAAATTTTTTTTTTTTTTTTTTTTTTTTTTTTTTTATCACACCGCCGATTCCCACCAGGCAGGGTGGCCCAAAAAGAAAAAACTTTCACCATCATTCACTTTCCCTCACTGTCTTGCCAGAAGGGTGCTTTACACTACAGTTTTTTTAAACTGCAACATTAACACCCCCTCCTTCAGAGTGCAGGCACTGTACTTCCCATCTCCAGGACTTCAAATCCGCCTGCCGGTTTCCCTGAACCCTTCATAAATGTTACTTTGCTCACACTCCAACAGCACGTCAAGTATTAAAAACCATTTGCTCCATTCACTCCTATCAAAAACGCTCAAGCATGCCTGCTGGAAGCCCAAGCCCCTCGCCACAAAACCTCCTTTTACCCCCCCCTCCAACCCTTCCTAGGCCGCCCCCTACCCCGCCTTCCTTCCACCAGAGATACATCTTGAAGTATTCTTTTTCGCCCCATTCTCTCTACAGTCCGAACCACCTCAACAACCCTTCCTCAGCCCTCGGGGACAAAAATTTGGTAACCCGCCCCCCTCCTAACTTCCAACTACGAATTCTCGCTTTAATTCACACCACACTTTGCCCTCAGACATGACATCTCCACTGCCTCCGCCTTCTCCTCGCTGCAAATTCATCACCCACGTTCACACCCAAAAGAGCGTTGGTAAAACTATACCTAAACATTCCCCTCTTTGCCCCCAAAGGAAAAAAGTTTTTTGTCCCCACAGACCCTAATGCCCACTCCTTTTTTTCCCATAAATTCTAGATTCACCTCTCTTTCATAGACCCATCCGTACACGTCCACCCCCAAATATCTGAATCTTTCACCTCCTATATCTCTCCCCCAACTGATATTCAATCTTTTTCACCAATTTTTTTTGTTATCCTCAAAACCTTTACTTTTCCGTTTCACCTTTAATTTTTTTCTTTTGCACACCCACCAAAATTCATCCACCAACTCTGCAACTTCTCTTCAAACTCCCAAGAGCAAGTTCATCACAAAGAGCACTGTGCAACTCCCACTTTGTGTTGATTTCTTTATCTTTTAACCCTCCACGCCTCTTGCCAAGCCCTCGCATTTACTTCTCTAAAACCCCTCTATAAATATTTAAAACCCCCAGGGGTGCATAAAACCCATCCTTGTCAAAGGGCCCTACTTTACGGGGAAAAAATTTCCCTCTTTCCTACATACTCTAATTTGAGCCTCACTATCCTCGTAAAAACCTTCACTGCTTTCAGTAACCTACCCCCACCATACACTTAAACATCTGCCACACCCCCCCTATCCCCCCTGTCAAAACCCCTTTTTTCCAAATCCAAAAAAGCCACAAGACCTCTTTGCCTTATCTAATACTGTTTCCTTATTTTTCACTGTAAAAAAACCCGGGCCCAAAAAACCCCCCACCTTTTCCCAAAGCCTCCTTGTTCATCGCTTCCTTTCTCCGTCTTATTTAATTCTTTCAAATTTTAAATCACCCTACACTTTTCCAGGTACACTCAAAAAGACTTTCCCCCTATAATTTTTTTCACTCTCTTTTTTCCCCTTTGCCTTTTTTAAAAAGGAACTATGCATGCTCTCTGCCAATCCCCAGGGACCTTCCCTCTTTCCATACATTTATTAAAAAATTGCACCAACCACTCCAAAACTATATCCCCACCTGCTTTT